AGGGGGGGGGGGGGGGGGGGGGAAGAAAAGAAAAACCTGAGACAATAAATGGAGAACCCTCGATAGATTGAAGTGTGTCGTTCAACACGTACATGGTTTCAATTCCTTAATGCGCGTTCATGGAAACCCATCTGTACAAAGAAGTGCTGCTATAATTATTTGGCAGCAGGAGCTTACGCGCATACATTACTTACACAAAACGCTGTCTTCACTATATCACCCCATTCTTCTCTCCTTGTTATCCCGTTTTTGGAATGTCACGCAATAGGACCTCACCAAAGACCAATAACAGAATGTCTACGTATTCACAATTTCAAAATTGAGACATCTCAGGGTGTAGAATTTACTGCAATCTCTTGTTGCAGAGGTGGGCAAGGCTGGTCCAGATGTGAAGGGATGACCAGCCGCTGCAAAGGCTTGAGAGCAACTGTGAGCTGTGCAAATGAAGGACGCAAGTTTGGATCGCTGGAGAATAACACAACAAAGAGAGCCATCAGTGTCTGGATTTGTATTAGTAGGGGGGTGATAGGAACCAATTTTACAGAATTTTCTTTTCAACTTACGTCTGCCAACATTCCCAAATTATCCTTGCAACTAAGGGATCAACTTCCTTGGGGATTTCAAGGCTGCGGTTCTGGAAACCAACTGCACCTACAACTTGCATTGGGTTCATCCCACTCCAGGGCAATCTTATCGTTGCGAGCTCCCAAAGAATGATTCCAAAGCTATATACATCACACCTGTGTTCACTCAACAGAAGACACAAATTACGTATTTATTATGGTGATCCAATAAATTTATATACGATGCCAGCACCAATGAAATCCCTTCTCCAAGACAACAGACGACAGAACTGTACTTGGCTTTCCATTTTCATAGTCATTCTAAAGCTAGTTTTATCATAACAACCAATACTGTAACTAACAATTGGGATTCCCAACTACGAAGGGGAATCCACAAAGCATAAATGAAACTAATGATTGTATGTGCAATCACATAGATGTGAAAGCTGGAAGTGCGAGTGAATTAAAGTAAATCTGAAAATGGTTAGAGGAAAAATTCATCAACTCACTTCTCATTAGAGGGTTCATTACGGAGAACTTCAGGTGCCATCCACTCAGGCTAACACATTAAAGACAACTCAATCAGAAATAAAAGACAAAAAATGCATGTACTCCCTGTAGCCACAAAAGCTTCTTTATTTTTCCCCTGATTGTTGGATGAAAGATTAGATCCTTACCGTTCCTGCAGTTGATTTGGATGACAAAAAGGTGTTATGCTTCAAGCGTGAGAGCCCAAAATCACAAACCTGCCAGTGAAACAATACAATCTGTCAAAAACAGCACCAAAAACCATTTCTAACTGCCGACTATTATTTGCTTCTTCTTGATTTGCATCTTTAACTTTTGTGCAACCTGTCACATATAGTCTTATAGAAAATCAAATTATTGAAGAAAACACAGACTCAACATTTAAACCATCTTGTTGGACTTTTTGACCATTACAAGCTGCAAGCAACTCAGCTGGGTAAACAAAAATCAGTAGGTGTAGAACAGCTCAAGCAACATGATCCTCCTCAAAACTAGGTAGAAAAAACAACAAAAGGCAGGATAAGATTTGAATAAAGTTACCCATGGAGCGGAGCTTCTATGGTATTTCCCCTTAAATTACACCCCATTCCCTCTTGTGAAGGAGCTCTCATTTTCGTATGATTTAATCAAGGTTTTCAAGATTCAAGAGCTACAAGATTGCAGCCTAAATTAAACAACAGTTATCAGCAAGCAGACACATGCAACATTTGAGATTGGAGTGTTAGCAAGCCACAACAGCCCTAGGGTGATTCTGCACTCTATAGAGAAGGAAAAGTTTGAAGTTTAAGATCAAAGGTATACAGACTTGGACTCGAGAATTAGGAGTAACTCTTTGGTGCCACTAAGAGTTCATAATTAATGCCAAGCACACCAGTTCATGTTCATGAAAAATCATAGGAATATTAGACTGGTTCTAGTTCTGTGCTTGAAAGCTAAAGAGTAAATCCATACCACCACCTCCCATGGCTCCACCAATAGTCATACCCTTTTCCATAACAACTCAAGAAAATACATGCCAATACAACTATGACACGCACATTAAAGTAGTATGAGAGCAAGTAGCAAATCTACAAGTAATGGTATGTTTTTTGTGGGGTTAAATTTTACAGGAGTAATTGTTACTGTTTTCTGGTTCAAAAAAGTGGAGAGAAGTAAATGTTAATGAGGTTAAGAATTAACCCCTAGATGGCACTGAATGGAGGGTAAATTTTAGGGTAAAGTTTAGCCTTGGTGAGAGAAGAGAAACATTTTTAAGGGGTGGTATTATCTTTTATGCCTTTTCTCTCTCTTCCTCAAATTTATAGCCCATCCTCTCTTTATTACTTGCACCTTGTTAGTGGTACCTTCTAATATTACATCACTTAATATTTTTTTTAAATTTAATTATAATAGACTGATTGATACACATGGTTTTTAACTTCCTAACAAACAACCTTAAAAAATAATCTAACACCTGTTGCACCTTCAAAAATGACTAGTAATAATTACTCTTAACAATTCACCCCCATTTTTTAAACTTGTACCAGCAGCCACCAAAGGATTAATAAGCTGAAAGAACTGTCATTGTATAACTAAAAACTGTCTCTGATACCAACGAAGTAGATGATACCTAGTTGACAGAAAAACAAATAAAAGTTTGCATGTCCTGCAGTCATAATTACAATGAGAAAAAAAAAAAAAAAACTTAAACAATGAACAAAATGAAGGTGTGAATAAAGTTCCATAGTGGCAGTGTTCCATACCTTGACGGTCCAGTTTTTATCAACCAAAAGATTCGGTGATTTCAAATCCCGGTGAACTATTGTTGGCATGCTGGCATGCAAGCAATTCATGCCCCTTGCCTGTTGTGCAAGGAGGAATTTGAAATCAGACTCAAGGGTGTAAAGTACAAATTCAAAAGAACAAAGGGCTGATGATCACATACCACATCGAGAGCCATCCTTATTCTACGCTTCTCATCAATTTGACATTGAGGGCGATGAAGAATCCGGTATAAGCTTCCTCTAAAAAGCCAAAATATCATTCAAAAAAGTGTCAGCTGAAGACCAAGTTTCAATACCCCACACATAAGTGAAATCACAAAGACAGCTGGTCTTTGCTGTTGCTTAAAGAAAGTTTATCTCATTAAGCTGAGACAACGAAATGAAGCTCAGAATTATATACCTTGGAAGAAACTCTGTGATGATAGAAAGGTTTGGAGGACGGGTAACAGCACCCATAAAAAGAACAACATTTGGATGACGCAATCTACGCATTATTCGCACCTTACAATACAGAGCGGAAATCAAAGATTGGTCAGTTATTTTGAACTGAAGAAAAACAGAACATGATCTCTGACACAACCGCATGCCTTTAGATTTGCGCGCCAAATGACAACTTAAATTACCCTAAATCAATTTTTATAGGTCACATATTTCTGAGGATCTTGATGACACAAGCAGAAAATGAATGATTATCAAGTGCTGTTGAATCCAAGAACTTTAGGTAGAAGCCAACAGGGTGATGCTACTAACAAGAGAAGTTTGTAGCCACATGCATGGCAACACATGGCATGACCAAGCTATTCACCATGTCGGTTCTTTTATGTTTTGTATCTTTTGGTTTCATGAAGCTAAATGGTAACTATAAAATGCCAAATTTATTTTCTTTCAAAGAGAGAGGAAATAGATTTTAGTAAATGAATATTAGGAAGGCTGAATTGTTTCTTACTTCTCTTTTGAATTCATCCAAGGCAGCACCTGAGAAATCTTGGTCTAAGAACTTCTTCACAGCACCCTCCTGTGATTTAACAACAATCCACCCCCTAGAAGATTAGAAATTACAAGTCTATTTCTTCGTCCATAATCCCAAAATTCAGCCCAAGAATTCAGCAAACAAGCACCAATGCTAGTAATTAGTATAACAGACAATTAATCACTATGCTTAAATGTCATGAAGAGCGTTCTTCTGTAACCACAAAATCAGATTAATGTAGGACACATGTTTTAGTTTCAAGTGAAAGTGGATCTTCCAAATTAGACTAACTTTTCTGGTGCTACATCTATCTCTAGTTATCTTTCACTATAAATTCCAAAAGGCAAACCACTTGAAATAATGTAAAAAGAGAATAACTGGAAAGAGAAAATCAAATTTAGACATCAATTGATTAAGATAAAGCCAGAATATCAAGAGAAAAATGAGACAGTTTCCACAGCATGCCAGACCTCTCACTGTGACAAATAAAAAATGAGCTCTAACAACAAAATACAAAAGCAGAAACGAGTAAATGAAGGAGAGCCAAGCTCACCGTGCCATTCCAATCGGCATGATAGACCTCTCCATATGAACCTATTCACCAGAAACATACGAGAGAGACTGTCTTCAGAAATTAATCCTCCTTATAATTATGACAGCATAAGACACAAAGGAATAGGAAAGCAGAGAGTTTTTGACCTCCACGAGAAAATTGAGGCCATACTATTTTTCGATTTCAAAAGAAGTTATCAAACAAATAGCAGGAAAAGCAAATTCTCATGAGAACAAGGAAAAAGCTTCTAAAGAATGTTTTTATGTTGAAGTTAACAAGATGCATATGTCATATTGCATGTTGCGTGTGAGTGTGCATGCTCACACACACTTGCATGTATGCACACATTTATGTAGAAGCAACTCAGCAATAGTGAATTCATTATCAATTCTAATACAAAATCTGACAAGCCATTTACATTACCTAGTCCAATCCTTTCACCAATTACCAAATCTTCCCAGCAAATTTCATCACCTACATCCACATCATCCATTACTTGATCAACCCTGTGAGAGATCGGATCAACTGATGCACTTGGACTCTCTGGATCCTTCAACTTTAGATTGGTCCCCATAAATCTGTCATATGTGCACTTTCTACGGTCATGGAAAGCAATTTCATTGTCTTCATGTTCTTTAGCCATGGCTTCTGAGTCATTTTGCAAATTCTTTGCATCCTGGAGTTTATTTTCTTTAAAATACGAGTTTGCTTCCTCAACAGAAGGAAAACTGTAGCATTGACTAGGATCTGATGACAATGCTGAACTGACACTGCTTGCATAATTCCTGGTGTCACCTTCTTTATTGGATGGATTAAAATTACTAGATGACTTGAAACCCTGTGGATAAACTTTTTCAGAAGAACTGGTGGAGGCTAAGGACTGATTATAATTATTTGGTTCCCGATTAATTCTTGGATAGAGGCACTCCACAAGGTCATTCTCTTTTCTTCTAGGCACCTCATTGTATGCATATCGATTCTTCCACACCAATGGTGCAGCCGGACCAGGAACAGGGTTATTTTTCCGTCCTGGAAACTCATTGATTTTATTTTCTGCAGGTTTGTGGTGCATGAAACTTTTCCCAGTTCCCTTGATCTGGAATGGATTAAGATCTGAAAAAAGGTTTTTAGAATCCTCTGGGCTATTAGGACCATATGGAACTACATTAACATTCATCCGCACACCATCACCGACTGCATGGCCCCCACGACTCCCCTTGTATACAGAAGTCCCAATGGCTGTGGAAGATATATTACCAAACTGATTAGTTGGAGCAGCTTTATTAGCTACTCCAGAAGAACCAACACCAGCGTCGCTACTTGAGCCAGAGAAAAAAGGTAGGGATTCTGCATTTTCAGAATTTAATCTACTATTGAAAGGTGAAATACCATCCACTGAAGAGCTCTGACTAGTGCCCTCACCAGGTAATGGATTTGGTCTAGTGAAAACAACTCCAGTGTCATTAGTGGGGCGAAGAGCAGGGATCTTAAAGGTACTGTCTTTTGCACTAGGGACATCAGCTGGTATCAGCGTTCCTGGAGCTGCCATCAGATCGACCAAAAACTCTCTGAAGACAGAAAAAATATAGTTACAAGTGAAACAAACAAAATGTGTTTCCTCTACCATACAGAAACAGGGCACAGAGATGCAGATAAGCATTTGTACAAGTTCATCAAGAATATCAAAGAATAGCTCCAGTATTTTGTACAAGTTCATCAAGAATATCAAAGAATAGCTCCAGTGTCTCCTACGAAATCTGTGCATAAGATGTTGCTTAGATTTGACCATCTGGATTTTATGTTATGTAACCACGAGGGAGAAAAACTCCATCTTTAGAAACAGAAAGGGCCACAAAAGAAGACGAAACAAAGAAAACAATAAGTTGCAGACAACAATTAGCATAAATGAGGATTAGTTGTGGTGGTCCAATTTGCAAAGAGCTGGGGGTGGCTGTGTGACTTTGTTACTTCGGGTGACAGGGAAATAAGAGTGGTCTGGGGCGAAGGACCAGATCGTTGAAATCGCGACTTTAAAGAAGAAAGGAAGGGCCTGAAAGGACCAAACAACGAGGATGGTGTTCGCATATGCACATTAATGAGAACATGTGCTTTGCCATGACCTTTCAAATAGGCATCCAAGCCTTTACATTGTGGATCATACTTGATCTGTACGATCAAGAGACAAATAACTCCATTCTCTTACTCTATGCAAGCATGTTTTGCATTATTTCAAATGTTTATTACCTAAGCCTGAGCTCTGTTCCTGCTTAACAGAGCAACTGATGACCATTCAACAAAAAATAGCAGGAAATTCTTGACCTCTTCTTAGACATTGAATGAATGTTTTGTAATGTTCCACTTTCCTTAAGATCTTTATCAGTTTTACAATAATGAGTTTCTTTTGCTCTGGTTATTTCTTCCACCATTTTACTTCTAAACGGGATCCTAAGTCAGCATGGACTTCAGGTGGGCCACCAATAAGCAGTTTGAAGTTCCTTTTCAAAGGACTTCAATACAAAAGACAGAAAGAGTTGATCACATAATTTAAATTAAAAAGGACATTCACAGAAAAGATAAATAATGAGATAATAGATACATATAAATAAAAAACACTGCAAGGAAAGCCCACAACCTTTCATCCTTCAACTTTATTATGTTGACAGCATCATCCTCTATGCCAGTGTAATGACTACCTTTCACCAGTCGACAAGGTAACTTTATGGTATCAGCCAACACCTAGATTCAGGTGAACAAAAATTATGAATATAGCTATTACAAGCAGCCCCACTTAAGATATAAAAGATTGCTGCAGCACAACAACCTCAGGCAGTCTCTAATGAAAAGATGATACTGACCTTGAAAAGCAAAGCACGATGTCGAGACAGACCAATATTTATGGACCCAATAGGCAATACACTAGTTTGAAGAGAAGTTCTTAACTCTGTGCTTCTCTCCATCCACTTTGCCAAAATCAAGTTGGCATCCTTAACCGGCCCACCCATGTGTCCTGTAACAAGTTCAGCCAGCTGCTGTACCAAAACAGCAACATTGGTAGCAGGGCAATCTAATGCAATACATTGTGCAATTTGCATCAGCTCTTCTAAGGTGGGATCAATTTTTCGATTGACTATTACCGCTTCAAAACCAGAACTGCTAGCATTTGTTTCTAGATCTGTTAGAGATGGCATTTTTCCTTGGACTGCTGAACTTGTGCATAGCACGTCATAGAAACCATCCATCACTTTCTCCCCATAATCAAGCACATTATACTCCTGGTGAAGCAATCCAACTCAGGTCAAGGAAAACAAATGTAGAAAAGCATTATTTGATAGCGCACATTCACAGGAACCTTTGGAGCTGGAAAAGTCCAGGCATGCCACACATTTATCATTTATGAAGCATCCACACACCCTTCCTCAACTGCGTCATGTATAACAAGAGTATTGCAAACAGCAGCATTGCTCTTTCACTTTACCAATTTACTCTTTCAATGAGAAATATTTAAAATCCATTGACCTTAAAAAAGTTTCTATGTAAAACGTTACAAGGTTTAGCTTAGCATTAAAATTTTTATGTTTTGCAAACAGCATTATAGCTAATTTAATAGAATCAGATCATTTTATAACTAATAGAACCAGATCATTTTATTGTTGCCAACAGCATCTCCAGAAGAATTGATTCGGACCATATTTTTATCTTCACAAACAATACACTGCCAAAGTTTCCACTTTTTGGCCAAATAAGTTTTCAAATATAGTTTAATATATGAGATTGTATCAATTTAAAGTTAAACAATATATATATATATATGAAGTTTTCGGATGTTTGAATCAACATATGAAAAATTAAATACAAACTAATAGTTAATAAAAGAAAAATCAACAAAAAAACTTTTAAGGATGCAGGTAAACACGATGATCTATGAGCACAGGGAACCATCATGTACGCTTCAAAATTAATTGCCCAGTGCAGACACTCGCAGTCAACAACCAATACCCACATAAAACGACTCCACTTCTAGCTTATTCACCAACACTTCATAGCATCCAAGACGGACTGAACACTTCACCTCCAGATTTCATAAACATTTTAATCTTTCTTCCCATAAACCTAATAAATGTGAAACTCATCCACTACAATTCATCACATTGACGACTCAAAAACAGCTCAAATTGAATAAATTTCCCTAATTCAGCTGAACTTGACACTAAGTAACTTACTATAAGCAGAAAGAATTTATTGACTCGCAGGCTCATCCACTACAATTATCCAGATTGAAGACCTAAAAGAAGCTCATATTGACTACATAATTTCCCTAATTTAATTACTTACAATAATCAGTCTCCCTAACAGTTAAAATCACCTTCATTTTCCCTTCATTTTGAATGCTAAATTACAGAAACTTCAAACATTGAACATCCGTGCAACAACTAATTCAACAACCAAAAAAGATTAAAAAAGAAGAAGAAGCAAGCGAGCAATTCAAACTCATTCATTAAGAACTTCAACTAAAGAAGCGAGAAAATTAAGAATTTATTATCACAAAAAGACTCACCCAATAATATCTCGACATATCCTCCACTTTTTCCTCTCCTTTCTCTCTATCCACATCAACCCGATTATTCCCTCCTCCTAAACTCAACAACGTCGCGGCACGGATCTGATCCTTCTCCGTATCGTCTCTAAACTCCGAATTCGACGCGCTAATTGCCAACGCTAATTGCACCTGAAACTCCTCCTCCGACGTAAAGTAATCTGTCAGATTACTAATCGCAGACGGTTGCACTGTCGTCGCCGGAGAAGGCGATGCTAATGGAGGACTCGCAGGTGAATTTATGGTGGCGGAGGCCCGTTGATCGGAGGAACCTGATGGTGGTGGTGATGATGCACTGGTGGCTGTTTCATTACTTGTTCGATTTGGCTGTGGCTCGTGGTTGCTGCCTATGTGTAACTTCTTGAAAATGTGCTTCATCTCTCTCTCTCGCTCTCTCGCTCTCTCGCTCTCTCTGTCTCTCTGTTTTTTTATTTTTTTTCTGTTTGGCTAAAATTCTCTCACTTTCCCTTCAGTTTCTTTCCTTGTTTGTTTCCTCCCTTGCGTGTATCTTTTGTTTTTTTGATTTTTAGTTTTCTTGGGAGTCAACAGAGAACAGAGACTTTAGAAAGACAAGGGAAAGGAAGGTGGAGCTCACTTCCTCGAGCGAGGGAAAACTTGATGAAGCGGTATCATGTTGTTGGCAGGTTAAAAAAAGGGCATGAAGTTTCTGTTAATTACTAGATTCTGCCATTCCGATTACAGGTACTTCTTTGGTGCCTTTACTTTACTGAAATCTCAATTTGAATTCTTGAACTAAATTTTCTTCTTCTTATGTTTCAAGTGCTCCACGTGTCGTTAGATCATTAGGTAAAATGACAACATTTGAGAAAAATCACAAGAAATCAACGTTATGTAAATAGGTTGGTGTCATTTACTATAGCTAAGAGTCGCTAACAACTAAAAAAAAAAGTTTTTTATTAATAGTTAAATGAATGTTTGATTTTTTTTTTTTTTATTAATAGTTAAATGAATGTTTGAAAGTGCTGTAATTTTTATTTTTTATGTATTTAAAAAGAATTATCTGAAAAAAATATTATATTGATAATTTTTTTTTATTTTAATATGTTAGAGTCACAAATAAAAAAATTATTTTTACATATTTTAAAGTGATTTAAGAAAAAAACTATGCACCGTACATGATACACGGAACAAAAGAAACAAGCTTAGCATGTGTCTAACTTTAATTTTCAGAAAAATTGTCACTGGGTATCAATTTTAAATAGTAACCAGGGACAAGAAAAATAATAAATTAAATATAGGTACTAAAATGTAAGTTCTGATGACATAGAGGGACTGGATAAAAGTGATTATGTCTTTTTCATTTAATCTTTCTGTTTTTATTTATATTTGGTAATGTTTTTCACTTATAAATATATTAAAATGGAAATGTTTTTCACTTTTTAGATATTAAAATAATATTTTTTTTATTTTCTAAAAATTATTTTTAATATCAATAAATTAAATTTATTTAAAAAAATTAAAAAAATAATTTGAAGTAAAGAAAAAAAATAAAAAATTTTAAATTTTTTAAGAAATGCATGTAAAAACAAATAGGGAATGTTAATGTTGGCCGCTGAATTAAAAAGGGCATGGAGCTTATGTTATTTACTAGAATTGCCATTGAAAGTTATCAAACATGGTGATTGTGACGGAGACAGACCGGCAAAGGATTAACGCGGGATGATAATTGAGATGGCGACAGCCCGTGTACGTGGCGGGTGGTGGGACCCAGATGATTGAGGCATTTTACATTTTTACAAAATTGGAATTTGATAAGGTTCTGTTTGGATGTGTGCCTCGTTTCGTCTCGGTTCTTCTCCCTCTTTTTTTCCCTCTGAAAAATGCTCCATATATTTCCCAGATATTGGGATGGAGTGAGTGAGATTATATTATTTGGTACCTTTTTTTTGTTTTCTTTTGGTCGTTGATGCTCCTTTCTTCTCCAAACATAATTATAATTATAGCAAGAACACTGGATTTGTGTTCTATCCTCCGTTTGCGGGTTGGATAAAAATTATTTCACTATAAAAAAAAGATTGCTAAGTAAAAATATTTGAGTCATTAGTTCAATTAGTAGTTAAAATAATATAATTAAAAAATAATAAATAAACTATAAAAAAATGACAATAATTCACTCTAAACCTTTCTAGATTATGAAACAACTCAATATTAGAAAGAAAAACAAAAAAACAAAAAATTATATTTAAATTAGGTTAACTCACAAATCTCGTGACCATAAATATAAGATCGAGATAATCTTATAGAAAAACAAAAAAAATAAATAAATATTAATTCTTAATAAAATCAAATGAGAGCATGATAACTTCAAAAATAAAAGGTGAAGTTGAATCTCTAGCAAATAAATTATTGAAAGACAAGAATTAAAAAATATATATAATTAAAAAAAAGAGTAAACAACTTGATTCAAATCCATCCAGATTAAAATGAAAAATCTCTAATTCAATCATAATATGAAGTCAAAAGTAAATTAAATAAAATCATGAAATTCAATTATCAAATAACTTGATCCTTAAAAAAAAACTTTAATTTTAAAAAATAATCCAAAAAATATATGAGTAAACTTGGATTGACTTATTAACCTTATGACTATGAGTATAGGATAAAGATAACCTAATAGAAAAAAAAAATACTAAAATCAATTTTTAATAAATCAAATAAGGAATGAAAGAAATAAATCAGTTTTTTAAAAAAAAACCCAAAAAAGTCAATCAACACCAACCTTTCAAACCAATAACTTGGGTCATGAACTTAAATTAACATTATAACAATGAAAAAAAATTTAAGCTAATTCAACTTAACCCACAATCATAAGCACGTGATTGAAAAAATCCAATAGAAAGGAAAGGAAAAACAGGTAGAAAGAACAATTTTAAATAAATTAAATATTGAGCAATAAAATTGAAATAAATCAATTTAAATAAAAGAAAAAAATCAACTCATGTTTATATTTGAAATCGATGACTTTATTCATAAACCTCAAACTAATATCATAGGAGGCAAACAATTAAAAACAATAAAGCAAAACTCTAAGAAAAGATAAAAAAAAAAAATCAGATTTGAAAAAGAAAAAAAACACATCATGGGCAAACCTTTTAAACCTGGTCAAATATCTAAAACCTGTAACTTATGAAATCCTTGAATCAGGCTCAATCAAAAAATTTAATTCCCAATCAATTTAATTTTTAAGGATGAAATAATAATAAAAATATTAATTTAAAAAACTTGACAAAGAAAAAAAGATAGCAATAAAAAAATTAAGAATCAAATTTGATAGAAAAAAATAAATCTAAAAAATTATCTCAAAGAAAAAAACTAACAACCAAAAGAATAAGGATCAAATTTGAAAGAAAAAAAATAAAAAGGGATAAATTTGATTTTTTTTTTGTAATTTTATAACCCATTAAAAAAAGAAAATAATAATCAAAAGAATGGGAATCAAACCTAAAAGATTAAAAAATAAAAAGGGATGAAATTGAAAAACATCTATAATCTTATAGTTTATTAAAAAAAAAAAGACACGGACCAAATGTAAAGGAAAAAGAAATCGAAGTGGCCATTACTGAATTCAAGGAGAAAAGAAAAAACAAAAAGAAACATTAGTTGGTGCCAAACTCGAGGCACGTTCAAGGCATATGCCATCTCATAGTATTAGGGGTGCCAAGATCTTTTAAATGTTGTTGTAGAATATAGTGTTTAGTGGTTGAACATCCTCGCATATGTCGTCCAAACAGCACAAGGGATGGTTCATACACGCTGACAAAAATTTTTAAATAATTTTTAATATACATAAATTAACAATAATACCTACAAATAACCTTCAAATCTATAATAAAACTAATGTTAAATAATAATAATAAAAGCATTATAAGAGAATTATATTGATTTTATCCTTAATGGTATCACAGTAATTACATTTATTTAGAAAAAAAAATTGAAAATACCACAACACTTTTAAGTAATAGGCATTATATTATTTTTATTCTATGGTTAAATTAATAATTTTACTTTATAATAGAAAACAAAATAATCAATCTAACCCTATATATTTTATAAAAAACAATTATATCATAGTAAAAAAAAAAAAACCACCTTGCCCTTAATGTCTAGTTCAATATTTTTTGGGGGGGTCAAGAGCAATTTCATTATTTCTGTGTTCATTAAATAGTGAAACTTCATTACTAAAGTAGCTTCTTCTTCTCTCATAGTGTTTTTTGATGAATATTTTACGTGTATAGAAAAAGGGAGATGCCAATCTGAGGACTTTCGAGTAGCTTTTGCAGGAGAGGAGTTCCCGGATTTGTGAATTTGTTTTGTTTTCCGACATGAAAAATGATGATTTCAAATAAATAAATAAATAAATTGGGCTTTTATGTTTTGCTTCTGAAATTGAGCCAAGACATGTGAATTATGTCGAGCTCGTGTGTGATCCTTCTTGAAAAAATAAATCCTTATTGAAATCATCATTTTTCAATATTTAAATTAGTATTTGAATGTGAAGAAAAAAATAATATATAGAAAATAAAAATAAGAATATGTAGAGTGCATATTTGGGCGTATGGTGGAGAGTCTTTATCTCTAAAATTGGTCGTGCTTATGACTTTAGGTGTATTTATATATCTAGCTTAGACTTTTCTTAATAGAGAAAGAATTGTGTTATTAGCCAATCAAGTGGCTCATAAATTGGTGTCATGTCGTGCCATAAATTCTACGTCTCATATAGAAATTGAAGAAGTTGATGTGTTATATATTTGTAATGGATGTCATTTGCTTTCATTGACGTTTATACGGGTAGATAAACATAACAAAAAAATATAATTATTGATGATAAAAAATAATGCATGTTTATAAAAATATCTACTTGTACATTATATTAAAATTATTATTATTGAATTATCTAGTAGGTAGTACATTAGTAAAAAATTAAAATTAAAAGATTTGTTTCTCCCGTGGTCTCAGATTTGAGCCATGTTATTACTAATATGATACTCACTAAATGTTTATATAATTATTAATTTTAGAATTTATAAAATTAATTGAAATGCACACAAGCTAATTTGAATATTTATATTAATAAAAAAAATTACCATCACAAAAAAAAAATGTATAAAAAAAAATAAAAATAATTTTTTTTTATAAAAACCAAAGAAAATTAGTCAGTCGTACAAAAAGGAGCGGAACACAATTATATTAATATTAACTTATAATTTTATAACTTTAGATCGGGTGATTAAACTTTTTATTAATGTCTGGAGTTCAAATTTAAAAGTTAATTAATATCTATAAAAATCTAATCATGATGTATCAAATAAATTTGAAGTGTGGATGATTTGGAAGCAAATAAAATATATAATTTTTACCCTGTGGATGATTTGCATGCACCACTGAAAAAGTGACGAGGAAAGGCATATAGGCTCAGTTCGTCTCTGGTCATGCTTGATACCTGAAAAGAAAATAAGTAAATGTGGGAATTTATTTTAAGTATCATATGACTTGGTTTCCACTATTTCAATTGTAGGGTTTGATCATGTTTTTTTTATTTTCCCAGGTAAATTATATGATTTCCCAGGCAATTTGTTTTTTCTATTTTTTCTAATTATGTTACATTTTATTTTCCACATATTCTTTTATTGATTATTTTTTTTCATGCAAATCTTATGATTGCACCAGGCAATTTGTTTTTCTATTTTTCATAAACATGTTTCATTATAATTAAGACAATTAGTTTAGTGTTTTTTTTTCTCTAAATTTTATTATATAAAAATTCACTTATCTGAACTAATTTCTCAACTAATCTAATTGAACCACAACGATTTATTAAAAGTTATTAAGAGGTAAAATCTCTTTTAATAATTATATATTGTATTCACAGGACCCAAACCTTGAAATCTTACCTGAAAATTAAGTTTCAAATCACTTAAACCAACCACTATAGATTGGCAATTAGTTTAGTGTATGTTTAACTTTATGATTAGTTGTAATTATAATGATGGTGGTAGCAAGAGATGTAAAGCTTTTGTTAGTCTTTGCAACTATATTATAATATTATTTTTTAAAATGAATATTTTGTTTTAAATTTATTTTTTTTATATTTTTAAATATTATTGATGTACTAATATAAAAAATAAAAATATATATTTTTAATTTATTTTTATATAAAAAGTATTTAAAAAAATATTAGTTATTTTCATATAAAAAGTATTTAAAAAAATATTAGTTAGCAAAAACACAGTGGTGGTTGTGATTATAGCTGCAGCTGCATGCTATTATGCCTTACGTATACGGTCAAAGGTAAGTTTTATCTATAATAATTAAAAATACTTGTATTATATATATTACAAAAATCATTTTGTTATACATTTTGTATAATTTTTTTAATAAAATAATACACACATATTGTATAATATATAAGCCAAAGTTAGAAGGAAAAGCTGGTTGGAGCTTTCAAGAAATAATTACAAATGGAACGTTTTTAAATATCATAAAATTTTACATATCATTTATCTAATAAATAAAGTTTTGAATTTGAATTTTTTTCATATTTAATAGCACTAGCATAATTACAGAACAAAATCTTTAATTATAATCCTGCTATTAAATTTGAAAAGAGATTCGCATTTTAAATTATGAAACAAGAATTTAATTATAGTCGTGTTATTAAACATGAAAAAATTCATATTTAATAAATATGATTAACTAATTTAATTTCATAAATATCCCAGATAAAAACTTGTCTAATTTTTTAGTTTGAAAAAATGGAGAGAAGAAAAGTTTATATTAGAGGGGGAGCAAAACGCAACGTTTTAGATAAAATTAAGTCTTTTAAATGCAACTAAGATAATTTTTTATTTTAAAATATGGTTATGTTTGATTTTTAAAGTGTTTTTTATTTAAAAATATATTAAAATAATATTTTTTTATTTTTTAAAAATTATTTTTATATCAATACATTAAAATTATCTAAAAATATTAATTTAAAATAAAAAATATATTTTTTAATATTTTTAAAACATAAAAAAACCTTAATCTTATCTACCGACTGACTTTCCATCGGAGGTTGCTTAGTCTAAATCAAGACATTTTTTGCATTAGTGTTTCTCCTCACCTTCCTAATTAATTCTCTAGAATATTTTATTTATTGACAAGGAACAAAGACATGAAAGGGCGGTTACGAGGAGAAGTTTTATGATTATATTAATTACTTTTTAATTAGATTCACTTAAAAAATATATATAATTGGATAAAAAATTATATATTGAGATATTTTTATTATTTTTAATAGGTCGTGAATCATTTTTTTGTGTTTACTTTTTTTCAAAATAAAATTTAAAAATAATTAATAAAATACTACTTCGTTACTAGTTTCTCGAGCACTTAAACAACAAATTAAACAGATTATAAAATCAGTAATTAAGATGGGTTTAAGCTCCATATTTTTCTATAAATTTTATTAAGGGAGTGTCCTCTTTTTGTCACGGCATCGATGCAAAGTAAATCATGTTATTTTGTTTTTTTTTTTTCATATTCAAATTCTATTTATTATTTATCAAATAAAAACCTTTTAAATTTTGAATTGGATTTGATAATATTCATATTTTATCACATACTCATCAATAAAATAACTATTAAAATAATACGTATCAAAATAATAATTATTTATTTTAAGATATCTATCAAATTCAAATTAAATTATCATTTTTAATTCTACTTCTACTATCTTTAATTTCTTCTATTTCAAAACCTAACCGTTGAAAACTCTTGAAAATCAAGAAATATTAGTAAAACAATAATCTGAGAAAAGGGTAAAAGCATTTTGTCAATCAAGCATTGAAGATATTGTGGAAGAAAGATTGTTTGTTCGACAGAGTTCTAATCAAGTTGAACACAAAAGAGACTAATGGAGAATAGATCTAGAAGGGTAGTTTCTATTGACATGACAATACATGATGGTTAGCCCTTAAGCATCATGCAAATTGCAAAGTTAAGTAAAAAAACTAGCCAATCATCTCTTTACTTGGTAAAAAAAAAATTATCATTGTGAGAATGCACAAGAACATCACCCTTTTCCTTCATCAAAAGTTTTGATTTTTTTAATCTTTAGAATAATAATTTAATTGATGAAATTTTAAATTTATTTTTTTAAAAAACATTAGTTTAAGTTTGAAAAATTTTAAGATTATTAGAGATTTACATTATTATTAATTTCAAGATTCATGAAATTAGTTAAGATACGTGCAAGCTAATTCAAATAATAATTGTATTTTTTTATTTTTTATCTTTACCATAAAAATTTATTCTATAGAATTAAACTTGAAAATTTACTTTTATTAAATATATTTTCTTTAAAAAAATGTGAGGTGTGTATAGTATAAACATGAAGGAAAATGTATGTTAATATCCTATGATTGTTGTATAATTAAATAAAAATAGATTTTAAAAAGTATAGCTACAGATTCACAGCTCAGCAACACTTGATCAACTCTAAGTTAACTCAAACCCTCCAAGCTCCAACTCCATATATATATATATATCACTGTAGCCTCACCCACACACCAGAACTAGGTATACCAGAATGCACAACATACAGCAAATAGTAACCTGGCGGAGCAATCTCAGCTGATGATGGTCCAACAACACTCAAGGTATATGATGATGATGTCTCATTGTGAATAATTCCATCAATCCTCAGCACCACCATCCTTTGATTCATTGAATATGAATGTGTTGTAAAGGATGGTGCGACTATTCTTACTGATAACACACTTCCTGCTATGTACTCTCCCACTGAGAAACTTAACAAAAATCTCTGCCCTGGGCTTACAGTATCATCTACAGACAAAATCACAGGTCTTATTGATGCGTACTGGGTTGATAAATATGGTGGTGAAAAGGTCTCCAGGCTTAAGTCTGTTGGGTAGAATACATCACTGAAGTTATAGTAAATGTGAGGGTTACCACCGCCAACTAATACTCGACCATCAGTTAGGAGGATTGCTGCTGAATGATACATTCTAGGACGTGGTGATGGTTCCATGACTGAGAAACGTTGGTCGGACGGGTTGGATGGATGGTACATGACTGGTCTGGTTGCTGCCTGACGCCCAAGTTCCCAACCTGCAGTGCCTAATTGACCACCATTGATTATAATGACATCTCCGGTGGGAAGAAGCAGCATATCGCCCATTACTCGGGGAATCGGCATGGTTTCCATGACCCAACTAGCGTTTTGATCGGTGATCCTGAGCCGTCCACATGTGGAAATCGCACGTATGTAGGTTCCCCGTAAGGCTTGTTGGTATGCACCTCTTGGTGCCCCTCCACAAACCAGAACTTCAGGGTCAATGCTGTGTTCATTTTCATCCAAGGGGAGCAGAACTGATGATCCGGTACTAGGATAATTGCGTGGATCACCTCCTGGTATGCGAGGAAACTCTCTAACCACACGATTTTGATTGTAATCAAACAATATTGATTGTGTATTAGCGAAGATGAACAAATTCCCATCTGGTAAGAGGTGGACGTACGGGTACAGATTGTTTTCAACATTACCCTCCCTTGTTTCTATTAGAAGACGGAGCTGAAAAGTTTGGCGACGAGGAGAAGGACGAGGGAAGAACTCGTAGCTAAACTCCCTTCGACCGCCAATAATGATAATACGTCCATCAGGCAATATTTGATTAGTTGCATACCATCTTCTTCTTGACAGATAGTTTGGATACTCAACCCAATCACAACTGTCATTTGGGCATGAAGTATACATGCGTGTTACATTGTCGCCGTCATGGAAACCCCCAGTTTGAACTAGAGTCCCGTTAGGTAAAACTGCCCCAGAAGAGCACCAAGTGTCTGTTTGGACCATTAGAGGACGGTAGGTGTCAGTGATAATATCGTAAAGGATGGAGTGTGCAGTGCAATCTATTTTAAGGGCTTCGTCGCTGGGATCAATACGGCAGCGACCACCAGGCAGGGAGATGTTAGAGGGGCCAAAATCTGTGCGGTCAAAAATGACAACTTTGTTATCATGCATAAGTTGCATGTGCATAGCTGATATGCCTACATTTGCTTGCAAAAGACGCCAGTTTCCCTGGCTGCCACCAGATGAAGGTATGGTCTGGGACACTACTGAAGGGAAAGAGATAAAGAATGTGGGTGCAAGCAAGAGGAATTTGACCATGTTAACAGACATTGAGCTTGGAGTGGCCCCCGTTGACAATACTGTGAGAGCAAGACAGGTAGGTGTAGTGATCTTGATAAAACGAACCTTAATTATATGCTAGTTGATTTTGTACTAAGAACAGGAAACTCAGGAAAATAATCTTGGGACGGCCTCAAGAGCCGCACGAAATAAAAGCGTGTGTTTCTTGAATGGTATGGCCAAGAAATATGCTACTGCGCATATCAAATTTTCTATGTACCAATACAAGTCGGCCTCATTTTCTACGCAACTTGAGAAAATGCAGGACAGCGTAAGGCATCCCCAGTTTTTGGCAGTGCTCCTTTCTAGGGTCTAAATGCATTTTGTTGATTAATTCCTATTTATTCTTATAATTACTGATACTAGCTGTTATATGACAGTTACTAGCTGCTGTCATAAGGCTATTAAAAGATTTAATTGCAGTCTAAAATTTGATTTGTCCATCGGGGACTAAACGAATAACTATACAGTAAAAAAAAAAAGGAGGCATCTGAACATTTGTTTGGTTGATTACAATTTTCTTTCTAGTATAATTTGAAGGATGAGCAAGGGAGACGATTGAAGAGTTTCAGAAAATGACTGCAAATGCTCCTGTGTTTATATCAAGAATGCATGAGCCGACAAATGCTCCTATGAATATGTAGGTGGATACACAAACCCAGAATACTTGAAAAAATACATCACTGTATGGTTTATCAAACCGATCGCCTCCAAAGTTAAGCTGGGAAGATTTCTATCAAATTATAGAATGCTTTTAAGAAAAAAGAAAAGAAAAAGGCTCATATATATGCTCTCGAAATAGGAAAGAAAAACAACTGGAAAGGGAAGCTAAGAGAGTTGCTCTAAGGATGAGCAAGGGAGACGATTGAAGAGTTTCAGAAAATGACTGCAAATGCTCCTGTGTTTATATCAAGAATGCATGAGCCGACAAATGCTCCTATGAATATGTAGGTGGATACACAAACCCAGAATACTTGAAAAAATACATCACTGTATGGTTTATCAAACCGATCGCCTCCAAAGTTAAGCTGGGGAGATTTCTATCAAATTATAGAATGCTTTTAGGAAAAAAGAAAAGAAAAGGCTCATATATACGCTAGGAAAGAAAGAAAAACACCTGGAAAGGGAAGCTAAGAGAGTTGCTCTTTCAAGATGATGTATAAAAGGTTGGGGCAAATAAGAGTTAGGAGTCAACATGTTCCATTTGGAACAGATATTATCTGGTGTGGCAAAAATGATTGACATGAAACATTAGGAACTTCATACTGGACTGTGTTTTGGGCTGGTGATTAATCTTCGTTCCTCTAAAACAAGTTTGTAAATGTAAAAAAGAGTGAGTGAAGAAAAATTGTGTAGAATGTCTGTGTAAGTCCCTTTTTCTTTTTGGGCCAATGGAGCTTGCTTATTTTCTCCTAGCTAGTACATCTTTATTCAAATTTTTGTTGACTTAAGCAAAATGTTTATATATTTTGGGAGAGATCTGAACGCTTTTAGAAAATAATGGAGGGGACTAGAATTTTAATAACCTAGCTGTAGACGGCTAGAATTTTTTTTTTTTTACCATAAATTATAATTAAATTAACAAAACTATCTTTGTCTACTTCCGATTCTTCTTCCCACCCAATTCCATCAGTAATCAAATGAAGAGAGGATCACTGCTTCTTCTTGGGATAATCCTCTCCAAATACCAGTCGTGATTAGCATATTCTCTGGGCATCAAATTAGAACATGCAAAGAGAAAACTAAACCCAGCCCAAAACCAAGCCATCACTGCCCATCCAAGCCACCAACTCTCCGAAGTAGTTAAGACAGCTTACCAACTCGAACCAACCTCCCTTTGGCACCTTATATCCACCATCACCTCTCTCCAAACCCACAAAACGCCATTTGCCTCCGTATTGCTCCTCAATGCCCCGGAAAAAAAATCACCAACCCGCCGGAAAAAAAAAAAAAACTTCCACCACTATTTTACAGATCCTCCAAAGGCCTATCACATGTGGAGTCATGATAATGCAAGCCCGACATGGAATTCAATCAGAGAACTCAACCACAAAATCCAAAGCCTCGCATTGAACGGTGTTTGATGGAACTCAACCAACATATTATAGCATCACAGTACTATGAAGAAAAACCAATGGTTCATCGTATTCTAGCAAGCCACAACTTGGTCCAACCAGGCAGGACCTATGATAAATAATTAGAACACCAAAATTACCAATAGAAACATCCACTGTATTGAAGAGAAAGCAGGGGGACGAGAAACCAAAAAAAGGTAAACTACACAACAATTTAGCCTAATTCCTTTTACCCTTGTTTCGCCTAGATGAAACAACTGTCCATCCATCTTCTGATTGAGCTTCCTTGGCCCCTGAATCATTGACTGGCTTGTTTACTAGATTTGTCTTTAATTGGAATTCTGGTGTATCCACCATCATGTTTGATCCATCATCACCCATTTTATCATTACTGTCGCTATCCTCAGAATCATCATCATCCTCCACAACCTAGGGAACAATAGGAAAGAACAATTAGAAGACAAAAAATTCAAGCTAATGCAAATCATTTTAATTTTGTTCTTGCATGTAGTTGGTGACACAATTCTCAATATTCAATTTCCTTGATGATCTCTTTCTTAGCAAACACCAGGATAAGGCAGGATTTTTATGGACTCTTAGGTACTATAGAACAAACTAAAAAAAAAGGCAGCACCATTGTACAACCAGAGTGAATTTCCAATATGATCAACTAGAAGCTGGACTCCACAGTACTCTCCTTGACAGTACCAGTACAGATCGCAGGACAACTAGGGCATTGGAAAACAAGTACCAAATGGCTAACATTCCAAAATTGAAATCCATAAGCTTGTGTCATATTTCCCAAAGCAGACAGGACACACTATCTTCATTAGGAACAAAAACCATGCAGATGGAGAATAAAAACCATAATTACCTGTTTAACATGTTGATGAGCTGCCATTCTAGGACCTTCATCCCTCAACTTTTGAATAGAACTATAATTGCCTTCTAAACATTCTTCATGCATAATCATTAATTTTTCAGCTACCTGAAAAAATAAAAAATTGAATCCTTGATATACAAAAACATTTTCATTTAAGCAACAGAAGGCAAAGAAATTCATTGCCTCTGTCTTCAAGGTTAAAGCTTCATTAAATTATTACCAGAACAAATCCCATTGCAAAATCAATTAAACGACATTAACCAATATCAAAGGAAGTTAGACCTAGAAGAATGAGTATTTGAGGCTCAAGTTCTTAATCTTGAAACATTTTACTAGCCATAGCAATACATGTACTGAAAAAAATGGACTGCAGCACTGCAAAGAATAAGGGAGTACCTCTTCAACGCTACCATCCTCAATCATGGTATTGAGAGATAGCATTGCTTCATCCAAGATACTCTCCAAATCATCAATATAAAGCGGCTCTGAGCAACAGGTTTTAAAAAATCAACATCAGAATTCAGAAATAGCAGTAATCAATTACCAACCATACCAGCAGTTCATATGCTGCAGTTTAAATAAATAAATAAAAACTTTATAATCTTTTATTTCACTTAAAGTAACAAACTTTTGACAATTTTGTCCAAACTTCTCAGTCAAATATCAAAAAATGAAACAAAACTACAAATTTTGAGGATCAAGATCACCTTTTTCACGAATATGTTCAAAATTTTATAAGAAAAAATTAGGGTGCCATAAAACAATCAGCCAATCAGAAAATGGATACAAAAGAGAAAGCTGATAACAACAACCTGCAAAAAAAACTAAACCCCAAGACAATCAGACTAACATAACAGTCCTAAGAAGCAAAGACATCTAGCAAAAACTCCACTATGAGAATCAAGAAAAAGCACTGGATCCTGACATGAAACCAAAAAAGCTCACAAAACTTGCTAATACTCAAGATTCCACCAAAATGCAAACACTGGATGTAAGAAGAAACAAACAGCGGGGCAGGAGAAGCAGAACCCAGATGCCAAAGCCAAGACAATCGAACCATTGTTTCCTCGTCACTACTAAAAAATAACCCTCCTTTCCAATATCAGGGTTTCCTTGCCACTACTTGAAAATCAAGACAATCAAAATGGAAAAAAAAAATCAAGAATTTTCGAGCTGAGTCGGCAGAGGTAACTACCTTTAGACTGAGTGAACCAAGAGAAGATATCAGAGGCTAGTTGCTCAGCTAATAGGTGAGACCCACGGCCACCCCATTCGTTTTCTACGGCGAGTTGCAAAGCCGACCATTTAGAGAGAATTAATCGAATCCCTTCTCTGAATTGAGAAATAGAATCTGCTGTTAGTTGTTTGACAGACCCAATTTGGGAAAATGCTCCATTTATGCTGCTGCTCTCCATAGTAGAATGTTGTTTGCGCGTAAGACCCTAATTTCTTTTAAAGGTTTCGATTAGGAAAGAAAGGATGGGTTTGGTTTGGAGGATACTTCTGTTCCGGCCGCGGACAACAAAAGCACGCCTTTTCTAATATTTTTTATTTTCTTCAGTTCTTCTTTCTTCCTTTTTTATTTTTTTTATATTAAATTTCTATACATGTTATAATTAACATTAACAAAAAAAAAAAAAACCAATACCGAAAATAAATGATGGACTTCAGTATAAGGATTACTGGAGAATTTTTGTCCACTTTCTGTCAGCAAATATTATCTATTTTTTAAAATAATATTTAATATTCATTAAATAACTAAATTATCCCTAACATTATAATAAAATATTAAAAATATATATATAAAAAGGTCAGTTAATTTTTTTTTAATTCTAGAATAATTAAATCATTTTAATGTTTTTCAAAATACTAAAAATACCCTATACGTTAATTCAAAAAAAAATATATATATATATACCCCAATTAATCTAATAATAACCAATTTGTTAAAAAACCAAATTACCATAAATCAAGCAAATGACTTTCAATGGGAATGGTAAAAGTATCTTTTGACTGTTCATCCCACAATGAAATGTGTCAGTCCCCATGGTGAAACACTAATCAATCTATTTTTTTAAAAAAAATTAATGTTATACATTGATTTTGAATGTGTAAAATAACAATTTAGTTCCTCTTTATATATAAAAAAAATGTCAATCTACATTTGCTAGAGATATTATAGTAAAACCATCGTGGGTTATGGCTAGGCAAGACCCTAACGGGAAGTCAACAATAAGACCCTTTTTCTTATTACTGTTACCGATACACTGCTACCAGCGGCATGAAAAATAAAAACTCTTGCCATCCACAACTGTTTAACCTGAGGTTGATAATGTAATTACACAACAAAATTCATATCATAAAAAATGTACAACTACTACATAATACAACAATGGAGGCCAGGGATAAAAAATTCCTCACCTATACAAATTTATAGCGAACAACTTCATGTAAACCGTCAAAACAGGTTCTTCCTCGCATCAACTGGCAATGCTAACCTTCTCTAGTGCCAATTCTCTAGTGATGTGTCTCATTAAGACTAGCACCAGCTCTCTCACTCTTGCTTCCCTGCCCATCAACAAACAAATTCAATGCATGCAAAGTGCACCAGTGCAGTAGCATTCCAAATCTCATTGTATTGTGTATAAAAAATCTGGTCTCTTTGCATTTGTTTTGCTTCCATATGTACAGTACCTATGCGAAGGTCCACAGATTCATTTTCAGCATATTTTACTACTAAAGGACATGTTTTTAGAGATTATGCCGGCTGTCCCTCGTAGTTCTGACCTACATTCTATTAAGCTTTCCAGTTTCTGTAGGTCATACAAAGAAAAACTTAATCCTACAAAATTACATGTGTTTCTTATGCTAGCAAAGCGCCCACAAGATTAAACCTTCAATCAGGTTCAATTTTGGCGTGAAACACCTTTTGGTTTCTTATTCTATTCTCAGATGTTCGACTTTAAACCCGTCTCACCCTTCATCTTTTTCAAACCCATGCCACTACATTGTTTTCATTTATCAAGTATTTTACAAGGTTACACCAACTGAATCTGATCAAAACATTATTCTACCCAATGTCAGTGATTGGTTTTACTTAGCATGAATATACACCAGAGACCCAGAAATGGCTCCTATGCTCTGATCCAGTAATGAGACCTTTAACATTTCAGACATTACTAGGAATAACCAAATTATGGTCAACATCTCACCTTGTTATTACGAGCTCACAAAAAGAGGGAAATAAAGCGAGCAGATGTGGACGCTTCTGATGATCCTTGTCATCTGATAAGCCACTTCTCAAAAAAGGGTGCAATGGTAGCACAGATGCTGTTTCTGAGTGAATTATTAGATTAGCCAGTTCTTGAAGGACATAGATAATTTCTTCAAGCCTTGTTGTTGGCAGGGGACGTTCACCTGAAGGAATAATTGCATTGTTCAACAAGCATAAAGAAGCGGAGCAAACATCGAATCTGCTGAAAGTTTGCACAGACAGGAGCTACATACCTAGGTCATTTTCATCAATCAAGAATCTTTTAAAGATGTCTTCACATCTGGTCAAAAGTACCAGGATTGAGATTTTGCTGACTTCACACCTTGTCATGTTCCAGTCACTGGCCTCGTCACAGCTGAAAACACATCATTGGAAAATCAAATCTCTGAAAGAAACAATCTTTGTATCAGGCTATATTTTAAAAGCACCTCTTATTAAATGGCCTGAATGGATCTATTTCCCCACAATTTTGAAAGCTCGATTTGCATCCACAAGGCCACCGTTTCTCTAATTTTTTGAGTAAGCCAGCCCTCTTATTCTCATCCACGTTTCTGTTCATGATAAATGAGTGATGCTCCCTCGTCCTTTGACCTAAGTGGATTCATGTCTCTTAGAACTTAGAAGGAAACTAGATGTATCCTTGTGTCATGGCTTGAACTCTAAAGACTAATGGAAAGGGATAAAGCAAATTACAATGGGTATAAATCTAGTTTTGAATATTACAGGTGGTCTGAATTTGCATGGGCCTTCAAAAAAGGGGATTTTTCTAGTTTACCATGATGAGGCGAACCCATCCATATATTCAAATAGCTAATGTGGGTGAAATTGCCTAACCAATGGAAACCGGAACATACTAAATTTTAGTTGATGAAACTGACTGCTCAAGATATTTATGTTTTGTTTCAATGACAATTTTGGTGTCAGATTAAGAAAGTCCACGCATTATCAGTATAGAGAAAAGTGAAAGTTTGGGCATTGTGGCCATTGGAACAGGTTTTGCACACTGTATGAGAATTTGGAGAAGCTATATTTTATGCCATTCATTCTAAATGAATGTGTCAACTTATCTGGTCCACATTCAGAAAAGCAAAAATGCAATGAATAGTCCATGATCAACCTTAACATGAAAGGTTTAATTCTAAGAAATGTTACCTGCTTAGGGAAAATAACGTCCGTAAGCAAGCCAGGGAAAATCTGCTACAGTGCAATGGCATAAGTTCCACAGTCTCAATCGGCAAAGAGCATGTGCGCGATGCACAGCGGTCCATGGTCAAAACTAGACGTTGCAGAATCTGTAAAACAAAATAAAAACAAAATCGAGACAAATCAGTATTTGCGTAGCCTATGTAATTGGAAAATCACCACAAAGGCCATAAAGTAAGCTGAATCTGATGCTCAATGCAATTTCCAGATTACAACTATTACTGCTATTGCTACAACTGGTGGTACCATCAGAATCAGACATTAGTGGGTAGGACTTGTTGGATCACATCCAGAGACCTAGCATCTATATGTACCAGTCACGACCTAAAAAGTATACAACCAGTACTGTTATTGTAACTGGTATGAAAATTACCTCGGAAGGTGCATCAACCGGTGACTTAAGAATCTTGTCACCAAGAATGTTCAAAATGGTCATCTCAAGTGCCTCATCGGCCCTAAGTGCATCAGATGAGAGAGAGTTGGAAGGAATGGCACGCCCGCAATATCCCACAAGGAATATCTCATAAACATCTGCTACTTCTTTCCAGATGCGCATACTTGCAGTTTTGCTGATCTTTGAATCTGTTCCACAGTTCAAGGTGAATCCACTTATATCATCAACAATAATTTTGTTAAAACCTTCAACAGCTACTCGCCAAAGTGAACCATCTGGGTTGTCTCTTCTTGTTGTCATACACCTAAGGAACAGATTAATAAAGATATAAACTACACAATTTCATCCTATGAAAAAAGAGAAAGATGTTAAACATGAATGACATGGTAATACTGATCACAATTTCCAAATTTCTACAGGTCCCCTTATCAATAGACCTTGGCAGCTATGCAACACTAAATGAAGCATCATACGCCACACTACAAAATCAGGTATATTAACTCCTGTCATGATCCAATCATATTTATGGTCACCATAAAATGATGACATCGTGGACAAAACAACAGAAAACTTGACTATTTTTCTCTGAATCATAATAATAACTGTTTCCCATCCCAAATTTTCACCTGATGCAGAATATGGTACATTGATTCCCACATTATAAATGTATACACAGTCGCAGAAACTTGACTAAACTAGATTGTTAGTCAATTTCTCAATAAAGATCAATAAAATATTGAAGGTGAAACAAAATAAAAAGGCATTAGAGAACATAGAATCTTTACCTTCCAAGGGTTTGAATAATTTCAGGAAATACAATATGCTTTTCAATTGTTGGAGCCTTTAGAAGAAGATCTAACAGCACAGGGACAAGCTTTTCTGCAAACAAATAACTTGGAATACCAGCGACTATAGTTGTGCTTGATCCAGAACCTTGTGATGGATCTTCAGCTTTCTTTGGGGACACAGACGCAGTACCATTGAGAATTTCATTTTGCTTCCTAATGTTATTGTCTGTCATAATAATGCATCAATTTCAATGTTTTTTTTTTAAAGATAAAATAAAGATGCTGTTGAAAAGCTGTCAAGCCAGGTCCATACCTGGGCTTTCGTCAGTAATGCTGGCTTGCCTTGCATCAGCTTCCTCTTTTTGTAAAGAAGAATATGATTTTGGGAGATACTGCAACAGCTCCCGAAGAAGGATTGGCCACATTGAAGAAATATACTCAGTTGGACGTAACAACGGTAAGATTTCCAGTATAGTGCGTAAAATGGGAGGAACATGTCCCTAAGGAAAAACAATTACATCAGTTGAGCTAGTGATTGCATATAATTATGAGAACACAAGGGGGTAGGAGGGAGAAGTTTTTGAAACAGAAAATCTACTCACAAATTCAGTTTCAAAGTTATCATTAGTCAATGTAGCTTCCTTAACTGCCAAATCTATTGTTCCAAGCAACTGAGAGAACATCTTAGCATCAAACATCTTCTGTGCTTGCACATATAGCTCTCCTGTCAGAAGTTTGAAGGAATCCAAAAAAGAACACATAAGCACCCTGAAATGTACTATTGATGAAGAGGCCCAACTACAGTAATATAGACAACAATGCTTGGTATCTTGAGAATCAAATCAGGAATTAACAGGAGATTGTCATCCTCTGGAATTGCATTAGTACAGTGCAGAGGACGCATAACTTAACTGTTTAATTAGGCTAAATTGTTCAAACCTCCCCTGAATTTTAAATCATTTGAGAATTAGTCCATGTAATCTCAATTTTAGTTTTGACCTTCCTAAACTCTGATATATTTAAAATCAAGTCTTTCTGTAATGTTTTCTGAGGTTCCCTCCATAATTTGCAAATAAAACTAACAAAATGACTTAAATACCCCCAACATCAATAATCTTCAACCTAATTGATTTTTTTCCCATGGAATTAATTTTAAATTTATAGAATAAAACAATCAAATTTAATATTTAATATCATTATTTTAATTCTCCATCCAATTTGGTTTTTTTTTTAAAAAAAAAAACTAGTAGCCTAAATACCCTTTCTTCTTTGTCTCATAAACACCAAGAACCTTTAAAATCTCTCTTTTTTTTGTTTTTGGTTTCTTTTAAAGAAAACAATAACCAAAATTTCTAGATGGAGAATTAAAATTATGATATTAAATTTTATTTTCAAAATCTAAAATTAATTCCATAGAAAAAATTTAAGATTAGCTGGGTTCAAGGTTAATGAGGTTAAGGGTATTTAAGTCATTTTGTTAGTTTTATTTGCAAATTATGGAGGGAACCTTAGAAGAAGTAACAGAAAGACTCTACTTCAAACATAATTTCAAACATACACAAAGTATAGGGAGTTCAAAACTAAAATTGAGAATGCATGGACTAATTCTCAAATGACTTTAAAGTAAAGGGAGGTTTGGGCAATTTAGCCATTTAATTATCTTCACATATTTGTTATCTACATGCAATGGCAACCAAGATCAAATAATAATAATAATAATAATAACAACAACAATTTCTTCAGATTGTGGTGAAGCATTACCAAGACCATGTAAAATCTCTTGCTTCACCTTGCTAGCTGCATTATCATTGTAGTTTGGTGATTTTTGAAGAATATGCCCGTAGACATCAAGTATGGAGTTAAGGTATGGGAGCGGCAAGTTCCCCTGATTCACACAAATATTTTGGTTAAGATGTAACTATATGCAACTAAAACTCCCCTCATTATATGATCTGTTTAGAGTCAACCACCACCATGTTTACATTCACAGGTGGTTCATGAAAACTTGATATCTTTGACAATGATTGAAATGAAACAAAATAATTACCTTGGAACAGTGGGAATGAACAGTTGTCTGTAAACAATTTATTGCAGCAATGGCCACCTCTTTACTACCATTTAAAATGCTATTTCTTAATAGAAGCAGCAAAGACTCCCATCCTGCAGAAAAAGATCATTTACAGACAATTGTCACGATTAGAAGAGGAAGAAGATAATAATATCAGACACAGAAAGATACAGCCATGGACCCACCTGACCAAAAATTGCTTAAGTCACTGAGTAAAGGGAAGAAAGAACGTAACAAACGTGCTATTCCACCAAGGACCAACACAAGCGTTTCATCCCACTGCTTCTGAACCGTGTTGCGACTGAAAATCCAAGTGAAATAATGCATTACATCAAGTTGTGGAAATGAACTCAGATAGATGTGCAAACCAAAAACATTACAGTTTTATACCTATGATGAATCAACATGTGAACTGCCTTTCCTCCTCGAGTACCTAGTTCTTTCCCTTGCCATTCATCTTTTGATGAAGTTGCAGCCTACAAAAGGATATACTTCTCATCAAATCATTCAACAAGTTGTTCATAAGAATTTTTTATAACAATTTCAAGTTACCATGTGAGAAGCACGATCCACAGCAGGGAAAACATAATTCCAAAGACAGTCCTCCCACATGCTTTTTGAAAGCTTTTGCCCATGACTTCCAAGAGTTTGGAAAAGAGTCCTGACAGCTGCATTTCTGACCTGAAACATAACTCATGCTGAGTCAGTGTGTAAAGAATCCTCATAGACTTAAATAATTCCAATAACCTCCGAGCAAAAAGATCACAACATAATAGACAATGAAACTGCAATCATAACAAGAATATTCTGCCTATGATTAAATAAATTATCTGCTTTTGATGTCCAGATGTTAACTTCCATTGACAAGGCATCACTTTGAAAACCAAGACATAAAATCCATTCCTCAAAGGATGTATATATAATAAAAACAATGGAGCCAATGTAAGACAAAAGGCCTAAGAAAACCAAACATCACAATCTCAACTAGAAAATGAGTATTGCAATTAAGAAAATTCCTGAATTTTAGCATTTAATTGTTTTGAATCTTGATCGGTGATAAGACCAATGACTCATTGCAAAATTCAGTTAGCCAGTAAGGAGTATTTTACATGTTATGCTTCAATTATAAAACAAAAGGAAAAGGGGGAAGTCCATTATCAGGGATATCGTACCTCTGGTCTATCATCAGCTCCAAGTGTTTGAAGTAAGGAGAAAACAGAGAAAAGCAACTTGTCGCGGTCAATTATATTAATTGTTGCAGCCCGATCATTCACCTTATCAGGCAATTCAGATGACAGTGTCTCCCCCAAGTCACCATTTATTTGCTTCATAACAGAATGCTCATCATGAAAACCTGTAATGTTAAAGCTAGAGCTGTCAAAGGTGCTCTAAAGCGACAACGCCTGAAAACACCCAACCCACTAGATGCTTACCCAAATGGAGTGAGGCACTAATATACAAATGTGTACATAAATAGCAAATATAAATGTGTGTGTTAGTACAGGTAAAAAAAAATTTAACAAAAGCTATAATTAATCAATTTTTCTTCACTATTTCGGGTATCTAGATCTCTGAAGTTCAACAATTCAAGAAAAAATCAGCGAGCTTCTAACAAAAAAAGCAAGAAATTAAAGTGAAATTGAAAACACAAACAGAAAATGTTGGGACAATAACGGTAAATATTGACAGCGTAATGGTAGAAAATTGTACTGCAGTATAGTGAAATAGAGGATGATTCAACAAAGAAGATAAATTAAGAAAATGGGGAAAACAAAATGTTTTGGCAACATAAAACCTTACAATAGTAATGTGGAAAAATGAGAATAATAGGACAGCGAGAAAAAAGAAATGAAATAATTAGAAAAAAGAGTAGATAAAAATAATAGTGACAATGTGTTTGATGTAAAATTGTTCACGCAACTTGTTCAGTCTTCTCAATAATGTTAAAGAAATGAATTTAAAATATTAGAAACTGTACTTACTTATACTTTTACAGCCAGCAACTAAACAAGGGTTAATAATGTTATGCCAGTCCCAAAAATAATTAAAAATTAAAATCTAAAACCCTAAAAGGCACCTAAGCAGCACCTCTTTTGCTTAGGGCCTCACTCCAGGAGAGCGCCTAGTTGAAGTACCTCACCTGGAGGTTTTCAAGGCACTTTGGCCTCGCCTTGCCTCACCTGGGATGCATAGGCGAGCGCCTTGTGACAACACAGCACAATCAAAGCTTATTTGTAAGAACTTAATGCAAAGACAACTGATAAGCTAATAGGAATTCAATGAAAACAAATGTTTACAATTTGAACTCAACCTGTTTCCTTTCCCTCAGTAGGTCCATGCAGAAGTCCCTTGACAATGAAATCAGTCGTGGTCCATAAGAGACCTACTGCTGTCAAGCTTATATTCAACTCAGTCTTTTGAGCACTGTATGCCCCAGTAACATCTACACATCTGCAGGATCAACATGTTTAATGGTAAAGTTAACATGCATTGGAAAGCAGTAAAAACAGTTGCCATGTTCAATGACAAAGCACCAACAGCCATCAACCTTAAGTTGCATTAATCATAACAGAAAGTCGTGAATAAAGAATTGGTTAAATTCTCATCATCACCAAATGTGCAGGAAATAGACCCTGACCTATCACAAAGAGTAGCCACAGGACCAAACAAATGTCAAGATTTTTATACTTCTGAATGTATTTTAGACAGATTTAAAATCCTCCTTCCATCGCTGTACCTAAATCTGTCTTTATTTTCACTTTAACAAAGATTTTCATTGTTCTTCTTCAGATAAACCTAATTAATCAGACTAAATCCTTAATAGTATACTTTTCTATTTTTTTTCTAATTGCAAGCAATGAGCTTTCATGAATCCTTTCTATTTTGTTACAATTGAAAATGAGCAGGAAGTGAAATTGTGGAAGCAGCTTTCTTGAGTTTGAAAAAACAGTTTAGTAAAGGTACCATGCTTGCAGAAACTTCGAATATCAGGATATGAACAGCTACCATGATGCATGCATCCAATAAACCATGCCCAATGCATTAATGACTAACATTCAATGAAAAGAAGATTATGCAGAAAATATGAAAAAATCATTATGTTATTTAGAAGATCTAAATTCTTATAGCTAGAGTGTTTCAACTTTACAGACTTGATCTAAGATCCACAACCACCACATGCCACAAGTATGCATACATGATAAAGCATACATATTTTTTTGTAAAGTGAATAACATGTCACAAAAAGTGCAAAGAGTTTTGAATCATACACATGGAGACAGTCTGCAGGAATAGAGGTCAGCCCATCATTCATGATGACACGCAGGTTCTGCAAGAAAATATACTTTCAGATTATGGTTGTGTCATGAGAAGAGTAAGAGATAGTCATTATAAGTAACATATTATATTATTTCTCATCAGTCCTTAAAGTGAGCAGGGGAAAAAAAATAATGCAGGAAGTTGAATACATGCATGAAAAATGTAGGAAGTTTATTTCTGGATTCATGTTAACAAAATTCATTCATTATCCACCATTATAAATTTTGAGTGTGAAAATGCAAGTTTCTCTCACATTTTACACAGAGGTACTAATATTTAGTAGCAGAACTTAATATGTACATCATGAAGTTTTAACATGACGTGCGTTTTCCTCTCTAATTGGATATCTACAATGAATTATAAGTTTATGAAATGGAGATTTCATAATCTTTCCTGAAGCACTACAGCATACCAGCACTTTTAGAATTTCCATATTGCATAAAGAGGTTTAAGTGAAAATTCAATGCCTTGTCAAAACCACTGGAATGAATGGACCAATATGACATGAAGTGTGTTACAACTATATTTATGAACTAGATAGACAAGACCAAGTCTGAAGTGAAGCACGCAAAGAAACCCGGGAACATCTGATATGAAGACTGAAGTTAATGTTTGAATCATTTTCTTAATTAATTTTGGACTTTAATTATTTGTTTTTTAATTAGTATATTACTATTTAGGAATCCTAATACTAGATGGATTATATTTATTAGATAAGTTTTAATTAGAAATCCTGATTTTAGTTTTGATTAGGAATCTTTTCTTATAAAAGATTTTAAGATAAATAGATATGTCTAGTTTATTTTAAGACTATTATTCAAGCTTTTAATAAAACACTAGAATTTTCTCTAAATTTCTCTACAGCTTAAGTCTGTAACCTTAGAACTTGAGAACCCTAGCTTTTAATCACACTATGCGCCACGCCACAATATAATTCTTTTACTTTTATTAGAGTTTTCTTCTTTTTTTCGCACTTGTTTTCATTCCATTTTTTATTTTTTTTTGAGAATGAAGTTTTATTAGAGTTTTGAAAACATATTCTTCAAGGAAAAGGTATCACCAGAAAGCACATTAAGGAGCTCTCATTCAGAGTTACTAACCTGGAAGCCCAGGGTTACAAGATCTTTCTCTGATGCATCTGCAACAGATCTTACAGAAACAAAGCAACAAAAGAAATGATAAATTCAAGAAGATAGAGAATCCAATAAGGATCACTCATTGAAAGCAGTGATGTTTTACCTTAACATTTCAAGAATATTTAGCCAACTGTAGTATAGTTTTTCTCCATGCCTCTGTAGAAAGGGGTTAGCCAGAAAATATATGCATAAGCTACTCAAAGGACACCGAAAAAACACATCCTATTTCATCATCAACAGCAACACTTTACCTCCAAAACATGCAGAAGAATTTTCAAGGATCCAGCACGGACATCAATGCTTTGCGTAGAAGAATAAAGAACTCTAAGAGGGGATATGACAGAACACTCGAGTAATTTTAACTGTGAATCCCCAGCTTCCATCTAGAGGTAAAGTGCAATAATAATCAGCAGTATAATTCCCATTCTTTAGCATATTGATTCTTACAGTTAAGCAAAAGCAGAGAAAAGAGTTACTAATTTACTTACTTCATGAGATATCTCCTGAAGTCTGGATGACACATAATCCTGGAACTGTTCAGAACCTAAAACAGCACATATTGATTGATCCAATGCATCAAGTGCCATGTTTCGTAAATGCTGATTTGGATTATCAGCAAGCTGCAAGATGTACAAGCATTGTCAAAGATGCAGAGCAATATAGCATTATGCACTATTGAATATATTCATTATGATCACCTCAAGAAAATGGCCCACAACGTGATCCCACAATGGCTCCACTCCTGCAGTTTAATAGATGAAAATAGATTCAAGGAAAAATTAAAACGCTAACAATAATTGTATTCATTTACTTCATATGAACTTTATGAAATAATGCCAATAGGCGATGATATTCTCATGAAACTAAAAATGATATTACAGGCACAAAAAAATAAAATTATTGCAGTAACAAATGGAGCATGGTCAGGAAGCTGATAGCATGCATAAAATGAACATTTGGAACTCTGTAGCACACTGGTGTTCTATATATTTAAGAAAGATCCATGATTATTAAAATCAAACTTCTAGTATAGTTTAAAAAGCCCATGGAAAGCAAAGAAAAGCCAGGTTCGCAATCACCACCATAAAAAAGTTTGAATTTTGTCAAGAATAGAAAACTTGTGTTTTCATTTAACCATTGAAAAGTTTTCCATGGCAGAAGAGAATCTCTTGATTCATAGCATACATAAAGCGAGTACTGAAATGAAAATCTCAAACTCTGTTGCACATCAGTGTTCTATATTATATTAAAGAAACATCCATGAGCATTAAAATTAAACTACTAGTATAGCAAAAAAGCCCATAGAAAGAACCAAATCCTAACTTCACCATCACCACCATAAGAAAATGATAAATATCTTGTCAAGAATAGAAAACCATTGAATTTTCACATAACTGTTAAAGTTTTTGCATGGCAGAGACAACAATCAGGATTCACAGCATCATCAATGATTATTCCCAATAACACAAAAACTGATCTTATTTGAACAACCTGTCACAAAAATCCAAAATACATACTGTGAAGATTATTAACAAGGATTGATATCATCCTTTCCACCGAGAAAGTGATGCTTCCAATTTTTTGGCTCACTGCTAACCCAACACCACTTGACGTCCCCAACATGCATTGATGTGACAGTTGGCATAGTGCAGAAAGAAGTGATTTAACTGCAGATATGTGCATCATTGCTGAGCTCTCAAACAGCTTCTCAAACCAAGAAAAGACTGGTTAGAACATGCACCTTAAAATTGTCCACCACCCCCCCCCCCAAAAAAAAAAAAAAAACACACTGAAACAAATTGAGAAGCCACTTACAAGAATATTAATATTATAGGTAATTGTATGCTTAAGAAAGTATGGTTATGAAAATTAATAAAATGTAGGTGTTGCGGCTGCTGGTTCCTGTTTTACCAAATAGAAGGGCTACCTTGCCCATTTCTTACCCCCAGAAAATGATGAGTGCTTCCCTACAACTATTTACTCTGTAGATGGCTTCACCCCCTAAGAGACCAGCTAGAATCTCTCAGAGCAAATCAAACTCATTTGCCAACTCCTATAGCTTCCTCCCAGCACAAACCTGGGGAAAAAGATCCCACCCTACTAGATAGAAAAGCAGCCACAAAAAGAGAGTGTGTAGGATGGCATGGTCCAACTGGGCTCATGTTCTGCCGTATTTCTCCAAGCCCATATAGAATGAACCTCTAGGCCAATTGAGGTCCAATCAGTGCCCATGGGGCTGTAAGGCTAATCCTGTGCCATAAAAGCTTTACAAGGGGAGAGAAAGATAAGAGGACCCTCCTTGCATAGATATATTCCATCCCTACTTCAGCACCTAACATGTGCTCACACTTATGGGTCATTTCCAAAATGAATTTTGACAAATACCAGTTTTGATTTTTGCTCATATCACACCAAACTTGCTTTACTTACTTGAGAATTCAAAGAAGACAAAATGCTGAAGTCGCTGTACTGGCCAGAAGATTCTCTTGTAAGCTTGGGTACAGGCATAGAGACCTCCTGGAGGTAAGGAAATACGTATTATAAGCACTTATGTAAACAACAACAAAGAACCCTTCAGATAACCATCTTTATGTAACATTAAATAGCTCTCAGATTAAAAAAGAATTATTCAAATTATGAAAAACTCATATATGCTGAAATTCATTATATAAGCAACCATTTATAGCAGTTTTTCGAAGATGCTTTTCCATTTTCACAGAAGCAATCGGTTCTTCTACCATTTTTCACACCACATAAGAAAGTACAGTGGGCATACCAGGCCCCATTAGGAAACTGTTCTGGATTTAACTTGGTTGAGTGTGTAGAATAATCACTGCCACCAAATCCCTAACCAATTTTCACATTTATTGATTTGTATTTGACGTGCCAAAATACTTATGTGCTTCAAAAAAGGCCAAAAAGAGCGTGATAAGTTTCAAATAGGAAAGCCTTGGATTTCTCATTTAATTAAAAAAAATAAAATTGTGTTCTCTTTCTGTTTTTTCCTAGCTCTGCAATTTTCCTTGTAACAATGGCCATGATTTCAAAGATGATATGCTTTAGATCAGCTACCGAGCATTCATTTAAAGTGGGAATAAATTATGATATTTGTGTAAATATCATTTCCTTTTATGAGTTTTCATTCTAGCCCTAGAATCTTTGTTTCTTGTGGGTATTGTTTCAATTCATGGGATGAGCTTCAGAGCTTGTTTCTTGTAGCTATGACTTTTAGAGGAAGATAACAGTGAGAGTTTAGGGGGACAGCTGAAAATTGAAATAACTGACAATATCGAACCTTAAAGGATTGAATTCAGCTATACTTCTCCTCTTATGTTAAACATTACAGCTCCATTAGATAAATTTAAAGTTCTGGTTAGGTTCAGAGCTCTTTAACAAAACAACTGCCACCACTGCTTACCCCAAATGAGAAGTTTGTCAATTTTATTTAACTTATCCCCATCATGTACTTTCTACACAAAAAGGACCAACAAGAAGCAACCATGATTCAAATCCAAACCAAAAGGATGTTTTTTCCAGAATTACCTGTGTGGTGGCATGTGGAGAATGAATTGTTCGGTCTAGAGCTGCTAGAGTTTCCAGCACCTATATTTTTTAGAAAATAAACTTTGAGTTGTGGACCAAATCTATTTCTGACAAATAGTGAAAGCAACCAACATACCAAAACCCACGAAGGCCCCAAAACATTGTGTAACCGATGAGCAACATTGAAGAGAGTCCTTAAGGCCTGCATTGCAATAGCAAGTGAAATAAACCATACATATAGATAAATGATCCGATAGCATAACTGACTTATTCAACAAGCAACTGAACAACAGTAACAAGTGTTCAGCTAAGGTAAAACAAGTATGCCATAAACACTGAGCCAAACCAAATACCTGCACATTCTTTTGAGTAAGGACTATGCTATCTCTCTGTTCAACTAATGCCTCAGAACGTTTTGACCCAGGAGACAGTGCTGCACTGCAGAAATCTCAATTTAATCCAGAATTTCAACAGTATCCACAGACTAAGATCTTTAAAGTATAGCTCATGCCGAAGAACATAAGCTACACATGTTAAAATGTCAGGTGGAATCTGAGATGTCTAAACTTTGAACAGAAGACACCAATCAATAGTCTATCCCAAGTTGGTGTAAGATTTAATAAATTCTTCTTCCTTCTCTGGTTTGTGGATGAGGACAATTAGCCAAAGGTCTGCTTAATATATGGATTGCCAAGGCATGCTGTATATCAAAGCTTGCTTCGAAAACAGCCTGAGCCCTGGCTAGTACTAAGGTCACCAACAGTCTATTCATTTAAGCTGGCCTAAACATGCATTTCAAACAACAGTAGATGGTTCATGGGCTTTAGGCTACATCAGACTTGGCTAGCTGAAACCATTTAGTGAAATGTGAGATTTACCTCCTCTTTTCTGCTTCGTTTGGAAAATTGATAGTGAATTTGCAAAGTGATGCTAGAAAAGAATTCAAAGGTTCTACAGCATGAAGAACCCCACATGCCTGAGAATTTAGTCATGGAAACCATCAAAGTTCATTGTGAGGTAAAGGAAACACAGTAGAAAATCCCACTATAACTGTACAAAATTGATAGAAGACTAATATTTAGTTCGGTCAGATAAGAACAGATAAGGCAATATAAAACAACCAAAATAAACCCATGGTTACCTGAGTGAATGCCTGGTATCCCTTCAATATTTCCAACACAATAGCCTCTCCTTGCGACCTTCAACATTAAGCAATAGGTCAGATGTGTGCGTAGTTTTAGTTCATTCTAACTGTATCCTCTTTCACAAAGAAAAAATTGACAAACCTTGACAAAATAAGGGACAAAGCATCAAGGATTGTCAACCACAATGAATCAACCATTGCAATGCAGAGAACTGTGGTTTTCCCACTATATCTTTCCACAGGATCATACTCATATCTGGGGGAATCAAGCTGGTTGTACAAAGAGAGAGTAAGACCTCTCTTCTTCTTCCTTTTCTTTTCTTTTTTTTTTATAATAAACAATAAGAAATTTATAAAGAAAAAAACATCACAGGATTACCTCCCCAACATCCACTGCTTCATCCGTTAAAGTAGCTACAGTGAAGATGACACCCAACAGCCCTTCAACTGCCACAGTTATTGCATGGGCTTCGCTAGCAACCAGCACAGCAGCATTGGATGCATCATTATCAAGGATCCACTCAATACCTGAAAAAATGAAGAGAAATATTTTATCGCAATCAAGAATTGAAATAAATAATAACTGGAGTCCATGATTCAAAGAAATCCAAATGAACATATTATTCAATTGGTTATGACGACCACACAATCTAACATTAGAGTAAATTCACATCTCATTGAGACACCTACCTTTCACATCACTAAAAGGATTAAGATTAAATGAATCAAGCTAACTAGGAAGAATTCACACAACCAATAGTTATTACATTATATGCACAACTGAAAGTAATTTTTGTCTTGAGCATAACATAATTTCTACCATGCAAAACATTGTTTCCCTTGTGTAACTGAACATCAACCTTTAATTTGGAAAGGTTGGGGGATTTGGGATAGAAGATCTTCTAAGCAAATATATATGACATTACAGCTTGCCTATTTATCTCCTCCTTTATTACAGAAGAAAAAACAAAATTATTTCCAATGTTGATAGTTCTTTTTTATCCAGTGAGCACAATCACCTGCTTCTCATAGATTTCATTGAAGCGTAAAGATAACCTACTTCTTCATAGTTCCTAACAGGATTAAAGTGGCACCAGAATTGTATAAACTTTGATGACTAACAAAACTCCACATTCAGATTTCAAACCACAATTTTATCAGTACAGTTACATTTGAAAAGAAGAAAAAAACAGAGAGAGAATTGACATGAAATTGATCAACCTCTGCTTGTAATCATGTGCTGATTAAACAAATTGTGCAAACATATAATTTCTTTTCTTTTTCATGATTACAAAAATGAACACATCTTCAAAAACAACTATATCCTTGTAGCCATTGGAACACGAGAAGGACACCAATATTCCAACATACAAAACTCCAGTAGGTGCAGCAATAATCATCATAAAAACCTTGAATGCTTTATTCAACTTATGAATAAAAATGTTCATAATGACATTCCCATAATATGTAGAATTGGAGAATGGTACAGTTGGTATCAATTTTGTCTCTTCCAATACAAAGTTACCTTTTGCTTTGCTGCTAAACATCCCAGCAACAGCTGCCAGGCTCTCCTCACTTGTTTCTTGAACCTAACACATAATAAATTATGTCAGTCAAGAAATCCGCCAAGCTCATAATCCCATACATGTTGCAAATATCAGCACACACACACACACACATATATTAAAAAAAAAACTAAGAGGTATCGATAAAACACTATAGCCCTAGAATCATTACATTGTGGATTGGCAAAATGGAACAATGTTTTTTCCCTTCTCAAGAAAACTCAAAAAGCTTGCTATTGGGGGTAAATTGCTTTTTTCTGCTGGATCCATTGGACATTACTAGATTGAACAGGGACAAATTAGTCTATTCACTTCTTTTAGCACACAAAAAGTAAAATGTTTTAAGTGCCCTTAAAAGCAAAAAAAATATTTAGCTTTCATCAAGGAGATTTTAAGCCTTTCTAATTTAAGGGGCTTTTCACATTTTCATCATCGTTTTTTTGTTATAATCAAGTTGGCTTAGAGGCAATTTGGTATTTTGATCAATATAAATATTATTTTAAAAAAATGGTTGCCACGTGTAATGCTCGTGCCACCATGTGGCGCCTCCTCACTCTTCAAAAGGCATGTGAGTTGTCATCCGACTGAGGAACGCCAACTTCCAAGACAATGTTCACCACCTTCCATGATAGTGGTCACCTCCTTCCACATAGGGCGGTGTTGTGTCAATGGCGGCCTCTTCTATCTTCTTTTTTTTTCTCTCTCCTTCCCTCGAAATTCACATTGGGCATTTAAAATCTTATGGTTGCCCTCTAATTTACTGATATTTCAATTTTGGTACTCATTTGTTTAATTTCTAACTTCTATTGTTTTCCTTTCTTTCAAATTCTAATTTTTTTTTAATTTCATCCTTAAATCCATAATTGTGTTTTGTTATTTTTTCAAATATGGTCCACATTCTTTTGATTATGATTTTTTGTTTTGCATTCTTTTATGAATTTAATTTTCTTTTCAATTTTTCCTTTCAATTCATCCTTCAATTCAAAATTTTAGGTTGTCCTCTAATTAACTTTTCATTTCAAATTAAGTATTTATTCTTTTAATTGCTCTTTTCTGTTTTGGATCTTTTTGATAATTGATTTTTTTTTTCAATTTCATCCTTCGACATTTGATTTGTTGGGAGTTGGACTTAGTGACTTGGTTCAAAAGTTTGATAAGTTAACATAGGTTGATATCATTTTTTTTTCAGTTATTTTTTTATTTAACCTTTCAACATTCATTTTGAAAAAATAAGCTTCATGATTTTCTTCAGTTTCCTTTCAATTAGGTTATCATGGATCACTTTTTTATATGTTTTTGGTTTCATCCTTTAAAATTCAGTTCTTTTTTAAATTAAACTATCATTTTTCCTGTTTTTCTTTCTATTAGGTTATCTCATTAGTATGATCTAGCTCGCGAGTTTTAGTAGCCTTACCTGGGTTCGTAAGTGTTTTATTTTTTTAGACTTCTTTTTATTGGCTTATTTTTTTTATTTCATCCTTGTACATTTAGATCGTTGGGGATTGAACATCGTTATTTTTTCTCAATTTACTTTTTTATTTCTTCTGGTTATCATTATCATTTTTTTCAAAAAAAAAATAGTCAATTTAATGTCGTAGCTTTTCTATCATATAATTGAACGAAACCATATTATTAGACCCAATAGGGTCTGTGACTCAAGTTATGGATTTTTTTCTGTTTTTAAAACACATTAGCAGCGCCTAAGCATCGTTTTTTATGTTAAAAAAATCAACGTGGCCTGCAGAACGGGCCGCCTATCTAGTCTTACCTGAAATGCATCTGTAAGTAACACTAGGCAACATATAAAAGACCGCCTATATGGAACAAGCTTTGCAGGAAAACTTAGAATATTTACATTAAAGATGTATGAAAAACAGACTTAGGGGGGAGCAGTTCTAAATCTCCAGTTTATTTAGCTTCTTTTAGGCCCACATGTTTTTAAAGCCACCAACAACGGAACTATAGTGCCAATCGATATGAATTTTACCAACAAACAAGAGTTTCATATCCAAAAACAGACTTCAATATATGAAAATAGCATCAAGAAAAAACATGGAAACTACAAGGACAGGGTATGTAAAAGAAACACATGGTGGGAAACTACATCAGTCACTCAAATGATACCACACTCCAGCATGTTATAGAAACCCAAATTTTCTTTCTCAATATTAGTAAGTCTCTCTAGCAAAGTAGTTAGGGAAATTACTGGAGGTCAACAAACATAAAAATGCATAAATATCTTGTACCTGTACATTTGAAACAACTCGAGCAAGAGCTTTAACCATTCCCTCCACAACATTTGTGTTCTTAGGATGCCTACCAGGTGGATGAAGATGCAATTGTTACAGAGCACATAGTTCAATACACAAACAAAATAATTTAATTGCTATATTATTATTGGTCAATAACCCTACCATATTTCCAAGCATGTCAATGCCCATGCTTTCAAGTAGTAAGTTTTTTCATGTATACATAAAATGAGTTTATCATCATCTTGCATCATTTATATGAAACTAAATTAGGCAATCTTCCTCATTGACCTTTTCTTGTCATTTAAGTTCAATTTCAAGCTGAGCTAATTAAGTTTTAATAGCTTCAAAGTGAATGCTGGTAAATGAGAGAGATTTTGCTAACATGAAAGCAACATAAAGCATGGAGCAAAAGATGCTGAATGAAGCTAATGGGCTTACATATCAAAGTTCTGGAAAAGAGTTCTTAAAGTCCGTGCCTCCACACAAAAACCCTGTGAAATTCAACAATATCTATAATTTTCAATATCTTTGATAAGTAATAACAGATCATCTACAGTTCATACATGATAAGGATACAAATAGGGGCTGTTTGGGAATGCGGTTGAACCTGCGTTCCCAAAAAATTCAAAAAAAATTATTTTTTATTTTTGCGAAAATTTAATATGGTTTGTACGTTTTGGATCGTTTTGATGTGCTGATGTTAAAAATGATTTTTAAAAAATAAAAAAACATCATTGGCATGCATTTCGACGTGAAAAGTTATTTAAAAAGCAACCGTTACCACACTGCCAAACACACTTTAAGCAACAACCACCACTGTAGAGATTACCCTCAAGATTTCAAGCACGAGAATCCGATGCCACAATGGCAGATCAAGAGAAGTAACCTTCACAAGCATGCTAAGGAAAACCTGCATTTAAGGAAGGAAAATGTTATTCAAGTATATCAATCTATGCTGACATAATGAGATGAAGTTTCTGTGATAATATGCTAACAAAAAAATTGAGAAATATAACTTGATTAGAAAACTTGAACTAAATAGTGAACATGGGCAGCTCCTTTATTAGGAGTGCAAGCCACGATAAAGAAGGGGAAGTTATCCAGGAAAGAAAAAGGATAGGTAGATCACAATTTAGAAGAATAACATACTATAGCATTTTACTAGGATCAATTAGTAAATTATGAAGAACTAAAGCCAGAAATGTTATTCAGAACTCGCATCAACACCTTGGCAGACATTTCTGTAAATGAATGAAAAAGGAGAAGACAAGAAAGTGCTGCCAAAAAGAGTTATCTTGTTTATCTGACAACTGCATATCTTAAATTGTTTGTGCTGTTTTCTTTTTTTCACTTTGTGAGCTCTTACTCCAGCCCAGGCCTTCAGCCCAAAGATTTATATCATTTATCTTCCTTTCTCAAACATTTCCAGGCCTCCTCCTCCTCTCATTATATTTTCTATCTCACAAAATGAGCAATTTATATTGTTTTCAAATTTCCTAAAAACAATGCCCTAAATATGATTAATGATTATAAATCAAAAGGCTATCTGAATTTCTAGATTGGTTGTGTCATAAAAGAATTCTGATAAAACAATGAATGATGAGAAAAGGAGAAATTCATGCACTCTGTCAAGTCTTGGAAAGTTCAGAAGAGAATATAGACATATGGAGATGCAAGGCTTAGTAACTGTGACAATATCTTTATAATTCAAGAAGCATATAGCAATAAGGCTTCTCTAAGAGGATTTTAATCAGAATTTTTCTTCTATTATCAATTGGAGCGATGATATTTCCCAACTAGCAAGTGGAGGATCATTCCAAGCTCTCTTCAGTCTCTGATGGCATAGCTGATGTGCATTCCAGGAAGCTCAGATAGGGCATTTATTCTTTCTCAACAGGAGTGAAAACCCTCTCCACTTCTAGGAGCGTAGAAGGAAGCTTGGGGAAAAGGTCTAAGTGCAAGCATTGAGTCAAATTGATTCAGGTATAGCAATGTAATCTGTATACTTAATTCAAATACTCAATGATGATATAATGATTCACTCATGAGTGAACAGTGTAATTGGTAAAGCAATTGATTTTTCAGCCATGGGAGATTAGAAGGTACACCCACCAATCACAACCAAAATATATCAATCTTCTTTGGAAGAAATATTCAAATTTGTTTTCAAGTACCCATTGAATTTACCATTCAAGATTAAAATTACAACATAGTTGAACATACCTCACACTCAGTGATAAGGGAAGCGCTGTACAGCCTGATAATATGAGCAACTGATCTCAACACTAACCGACGAAAAGAAGGCTCTCCAGCTTCTCCTTCAAGCTGAATCAGGTTGCACACAGCGCAAGTAAAATGTGTAAAAGTGAAATTCTTCAAGAGATCAACGATTTTATCCACTTGTTTCAAAAAGAGAAGCTACCTCGGCATTGGTACGAAGTGAAGTCATCAAAAGTGAACATATCTGATGACGCAAAACCTGTAGAGTTTCCATGCAAACTTTAAATTAGCCAAAGATCTACTAACATGCCAAAAATAACCAAGATAAGTGTATATAATAAATCACCTGTTCATAAGGAACCAAAACCTTGAAAATAACCACATAATTGGATAGAATGAACCTGCAGAACAGAAGCATTAAGAAAAATGAAAAATAGATATGCAAAAGAAACACTGCAGTTTTGGTTCAGTAGCAAGAAGATTTTGAAATATTGTGAGTTGTTTCTCATGATTATTGACACCAAGGAAATCCAGAAGCTTCAATATATAGCAAAGAAATATGAAATGTTGTGAGCAGAGATAAATTTCTCACTCAAGTATATCAAGAGCAAATATCCGTTGGAGAGAATTGACATGTAACCAAATCGCCTGTCAGATGGAAAAATTAGTTAAACAGCTTTCACTAACATGATTCCTAAGAAACAAAAATAATCACAACAAAATAAAACATCAAATGTGAAATTCAGTGACAGAGACTATATTTAACAGCTTCAAATAGCACATACAGATCCACCTGCAGCAAGAGCTGTCAGGTCTTCAAGTAAACGAAGCCCAAGCTTTCCAGCATTTGTTAGTGTCTCCCTCGTCAATGATTGCCCTCTGGAAACAATTTCATGCTCCCATGACCTGTTCATGCTGAAGTTAAATACATGGATATGACATAATGCACATTCTAAGAACTCTCCATACCAAAAAAAAAAAAAAAAAGGAGTATGTTCATGCAACATATAACTCCCTCCCCTTTCAAAGCTCATGTGGAGCTATCCTCATATTCAAATTTATTTAATTGGTTGGAAGCAGATATACCCAAAACATAAACGTCGAACACATCGATAAATATGTATTAAGAGTTCCCTTTATGAATGACATGGACACCCCCAAGCACAAGAAATAGAATGTTTTGAGTCACATATGATTTCCATGAAAAAATACTTACTCTGAATTATTGATGCTGCGATTAACATCACCAGTTACTGAACTGGATCGAGAAATATGACCTCCGGAACCAAACTTTCCCACTGGAAGAGACTCGACACGAACCACATGATCAAAAATCAATGCTACTGCCTGTCTGATGGTAGCTGCAGCAGTGCTGAAAAAGAAAACAATTATATGATTAACAGATGAAATGTATGGCATCATCTCTCAAAATAAAGAGGTTAATCATTAATGAATGATGAATTTTGGAAGAAAAGAGTGGCTGGAAGGCCTCTTGAAGTTTAAGATGTGTTTGCCAATAATTGAACTTACTTTCGCACACTATCAGAGGATCGGTTATTTTCAAGAAGCCGAAGACATATATGAAGGGCTTGTGCCATATTCGCCTGAGATAAATAGAATGTTTAAAGCACAAAAGCTTGTAATATCCCCATCCCAACCCAAAATCAGAAATACAAAACATAAGGTACAAATTAAAAGGAAAAAATTAGCGAGCACACAATGATGCCAAATTTGTGCCTTGATTATTACATCTAAAAAAATTTCCAGAGAAACTTAACATCCTACATCACATAAAAGAGAAATATGTTAAGCAGCTAAAACTATGGATTTGGGTTCACATACGATAAACATATTCAGGTTCAGGCTCACGAAATTTATTTCCTCCGGCATGTCTTTTAGATTAAAATTTAAACTATTAAATAAAATTCAAGTTTGATATTAATGTTCAACTAGTTTCGCATTTAATGAACTCAGGAGTTTTGGTTGCGCAAATCAACAATTGCAACAGTATTCTTGCCATTAAAGAGCAAATTTTTGTTCTACACTAAGATAACAGATGATGAACTAAATCCAATGCAATTCCAACTGGGAAATATCAGATACATGCAGGTAACTCCTCATATTTTATATGCATCTGAATCCAACAATTTCCAATATTTTTTTTTTATAAAATAAACTAGTTCCATTAAATCAAATATATAGCTCCATTTGCACAATATAAATATATAAAAAAAAAACTACATCCATTTATGAGCAATAGCAAAACTGATTGTTGTGGGTGTGTTTGTGACAACCCCAAAGCTTTACTCAAACTATTGGATAGCAAATAGACTCACCAATAGGGCAAAGAAAGTTAAGCTCATCCTAAATTAGTTTCTTAAATAAGTGGAGAATCAAATTCAGAAAATTGAAGGTACAAGTATATACTGTATTTATGTCTATTTTATTCCATTCCAGTCTCCAGCTGATCTCAAATAAATGAGCACATCAGCATAAATGGAAATATATGCTTAATGCTACTAATAGATTATATTGATCAGAGAACTTTTATGTGCTTAATATTACTGATCAGTCATATTGATCAGAGACCTACAATATTCAATATACGCAGGATTTCTTGGTAATATGCTAACTTAAGTTTGTAAATGTGCTCTTGTGATCAAAAGTCTGAAAGAGAAAAGCATGCATTCTAATTTCAGTATGTCAATAATTCAACAGAGTTGCCACAATATTTTTTTTCTTAACACATCGGGCTTTGATCTGGTTACCAACCTCGTTCCAGGTACAAGGCATTCTGCACACTTACTGGGGAGATGAACTAAATGATGGATCATTACCTCATTTTCAGGATGTAAACGTGACTGAAATATTATTAATATAGTCTGTAGAGTCTTAAGTTGAACACTCTCATCTGCCATTTCAGCATGCTGCATAGAGGAGATGATCGATATATAAGATTTCCAATCAAGTTTCTATTTTATATTTTTTTCAAGAAAATCAAGCAATCAGGAATACTAATATGCCTATTTTTCAAAAGAAAAATAATTATCTTCCATAATTTCCACATAGAATACATATTTAAATATAATTTTCTGATAGGAAACATTCTGTAGAAAGACTAAATTTTTTTGTCCATGAACACCTTGATGGCGATATGCAGGAATAATTTCCTTAACTGACCAGTAGTAATAACAATAGATCCTACTTGCATGTGGAGAAGCTCGTTAGAAATTATGAAAATCAGCAAAAATCAAGTTTAGGAATATTAAAAGTCATTCATGGAGAAGATTCAGAACACACAGATTGAAAATAACAACCATCAAAGTATTTGATAAGAGTTCACAATTACAAATTGAGTGCCTAAGAAATATCCTTCTGACATGATTAAAAATCAGTGTAACCTTGTCAGGATTATATGGGACATGATGCTCTGGTAACCTCTCCTTCAAAGCAGGCAAGTAAGTTCAATGTTCATAAATGGTCCCTTCATTAAAGGGACCAATGCAAGTAATTTAGTTGTTTAGGACCAAGAAGGAGCCTATGCCCAAGCTACGTCCAAAAACTTATAGGAACAACTGAAGATATAGATAGGGTATCTGCATTGTTTACTGCTGCTTATAAACAGACTCCCATTGGTCCCTTTCCCTTTATCCTCACAGCACTTCTTAATTTGTTACGTTACCGATATTGATAGTTATACAAGACAAGTTTTTCTTCTCAATGAATAAATCATGAAAAATAGATAATTATTAGCATTTGGAAGACATCCCGGCTTGGATTCTTGCTGATTTATTTTCTAACTATTTCCTTAATTAATATTCTATTACAGTGTCACGGGACAATTTCCTTGAGCATTTAAAATGAAAAATGATTCACATCCATTTTCTAACTCTTACAACCTTATAATCAATGAGAAGTTAAACGTGGGAAGAACACACACACACACACATGTATGCATGTATGTATATTGCCTAGCAAAACATTCAGCACAAGGCAGTTCAATGTAGGCCCATTTCAAGGCAGTTTTAGTGAATGCTAAAACAATTTTAAAGTAGAAGCTAATACAATTACAAACTTACAGTTTTCAATGTAGAAAGGATTTCTTTCAGTGCTGATGGAGCAACTGCATCATGGGATATGAGCTTTTGCAGACAGGAAAGTCCAATCACACTCAACTTTACTGTCCTAACCTCACAAGCCATCAAAAATATTCGCATAATATCCTCATTATCTGCAATTTCACTGGGACTTGATAGCGATCGAAGCTGCAAGAACAACACCCAAGAAAGAAAGAAAGACTCAAGCTCAGCTTCCAGATCAATGGCAAGAAACAACACATTGACTTTCAAAACCCATGGCTCCATTCCCATCATATAGATTTGAAAAGAAAAAAACTACTAAAAATTTGTATGCACTATTATTTAACCTCAAATTCCAAGTATGAAACATAACTTGGACTACTACAAAAACTAACGATAATATAAACATGACCCCAAATTCTTCATGCAACTCCGCCCATCAACATTTTGAACTCTGCAGAATGGTTACAATTTTTTTTTCCTAAGAAAAAAGCTAAATTGCGATTCAAATGCACAAGCAAACTAAAAGCTCTATTCAACCATGTCATCGTCCGGAAAATAAACTTAAAATTCGTATTTGTGTATGTAAAAATAATCTCAAAACTAAATTATTCTATTTCAGATGTTAAAAATGCCAAATTCAAACGACTTCGGTTCCCAAAAAAATAACAACACGTAATTAACTCCAATCACTATTTTAAGCTCAGTTTCCCGGCACTGGTTTCTTTTTAAAAAATCCTACTAAACACATCTGTTTATATCAAACGGCATTAAATTATCAAACGCTAAATTACAGGCGATTGCGTGAGCTTAAAGAAGCTACATTTGCAACAATTCAAGATAAAAGAAATACCAATACACTTTCACCGATATAAAGAAATCAGTAGTAATTGTTAACAAATGTGTGTGATTTTTTAGTTTGAATTCGAAGGTGTACCTTTAAAATGGCATGCTCAGCGCCATCTTTAACGGCAGGGTAACGTCGGCGAGCTTCGGCGGACAGAGCTCGGAGATCGGATTCCAATACTGCCATGAACGCCATGGCTCGAAAAGCGTTTTCTTGATTTGAATTTGATTATCAATTGGTGAATTTAGGGTTTTGAAAACAAAAACATCGAGAGATCGATCAATTAATTCTTTTTCTTGAAAGTAAAAAAACGAGAGAGAGCGAGAGAAAGGGTAGTGAGAGGGAGTAGATCTGTTATTTTCTGTACGTGTGGAGAACACGTGTGAGATTTGAAAGTTCAGACCCGACTCCAGAGTTTACCCGGCCAAAAATCAGGTTCTGGGTTACTTTTACAAGAGTCAACGTATGAAAATTAAAAAACAAAAATTTAAAAACAATACATATAAATATAAGATAAGCATATTATAAATCATTAATTTTTTTATTACACGTATATCATTTTAAAAAAATAAAAGATATGTTGGAAATACAACTAAAAAACCTTGTTTGTTTGCTGGAAAATAATTTTAAAAAAAACAATTATTAAAATGAATTAATTTCTGATACTTGGTAATATAATGAAAAATAAGTTGGAAAACAGTTTCTAATATTTGATTATGAGCTGGAAAATAACTTATTAATATGTTATTTTTTTCAAGTTTATTAAAATAATAAGGAACAAATCTTACAAATTAAATAATTAAATGAGAATGAAATTGAAAAAAATATAATTTTATAAATTATTTAAAATAATTTTATAAATTATCTCAAATAAAATAAATAATAATCAAAATAATAAAGATCAAATCTAAAAAATTAAAAAATTAAAATATAAAAAAAATTAAAATAATAATAATCAATATTGCATGAATTATTTCAAATAAAAATAAGTAACAATCAAAAGAATAAGGACCAAATTTGATAAATAAAAAATTTTAATAAAAAATAATAAATAAAAAGTAAATAGCAATTATAAAAATAAAGACCAAAATTAATATAAAAATTAAATTTTAAGAGATGAAATTGAAAAATAAATATTCAAAACAAAATATATATAATAATCAAAGGTTTAAGGATCAAATTTGATATAATCAACAACTAATGATATTTTTAAATTTTTCACAACTTTCATAAAGTGTTTTTCATCCAAATTTTTTAGGAAAACACTTTCTTGAAAACAAAACTAAATTTTTCTTTAACTAGAAAGTATTTTCCATCGACCAACTTTTCTAATGACAAACAAAAACAAAAAAAGTTTGGAAAGTGATTTCTCAAAAATCACTTTTCAAAAAACAAACACAGTCAAAAAAAATATTTTTCTAAAAATCAAACCAAATTTTTCATTGACTGAAAAGTGTTTTTCGTTAACTAACTTTTTTAATGGCAGACAAATATAAAAAAGTTTGAAAAATAATTTCCTGGAAACTACTTTCCAGAAACAAATATGGCGTAAGTTAATTTTTATTCTCACAAAAAATTTAATTTTTTTTTATATATACATATCAATATATATATATACATACACGTACATATAAAAGATAAGATAAGCTTTAGGAATTGTTTTTTCTTAGGTTTATTTTATTGCATTATATGTATGCATTGACCTATTCTATTCCTTTTCAACTAAAGTAAAAAATAATGATAATTGATATTTGTAAGTACTTATCCATAATAGTTTCCTGTAACAATGTTTTTGAACCTTTCGTTATATCACTTTTTTTTTTAGATTAGTGTGGGTGTCTGGGGCAGATTGTGTGCACCACGATTAATTTTACGGTCCACGAAATATCCTACAAATCCAGTAAACAGGTAAGGCATCGCATGAGTGACATGCATACCACAAAGAAAACTCAATAAAAATATAAAGGGAATAACTTATCACCTCTACTCCCAGTCGAACTCGAACTGAGATCTGAAAAAAAACAAGCAGTCCCAACAGCCATAGACCCACAACCCTGCTGGTTTCGTCATATTACTCTTGCTCTCTCGGTGAAGGGTGTTTGTTGTCGCTCCAAGCGGAGGTCTGGATAGCAGTTTACAAGGACAGTGAGTTATAGTCAAAATTCATATATCAATCTTGTCCGTTACTCTACAAGAAATAGTGATTGTTTACTCTAAAAAATTATTATGTACACAAAACTATGAGATTTCAAAAACAAATTAATGCTAATTAAAAAAAAATATTTTAAAAAAAATCTCAATTAAATTTTGTCCGAGCTAATCAAGTTTGGCAGAGTTTTTTATTTATCTTAATTTTTTATCAAATTAATAATTTTTATATTGGATGGACAGGTTTAACAAGTATAATTTGGTGGGCCTAATTTGACATGAGCTTTTGAGCTCTTATTGAATTGAAGGCATACAAGAAAGTTTCTACGGATGCATAAATTATTATATTTATTATTTTTTTTTTAAAATACATATTTATTTTAATAAATATGGAGCCCTTAATTTTTTTTAATATATTCATGGAGTAGCTTTAGTTTTTCTTCATATTAAATTGTTTTTTAGAAAATTAGACATGATCTTGAGTTATAATTTAAAAAAATTACTCGAGTTATATGTGAAAAGCTACTTATGACCTTAATTTATTTCATGTAAAGTAATTTTTAAGTTGTAGTGAGTTTTAAAAAATAATTTTTAATAAATAAAAGAACTTTTGTGAGAAAACTACTTTCCAATAAATTATTTTTTAACAAAAAAAAACAATAATTTCCCACGAAAAAGGTGTCTCTGTTTTTAATTCTTAAAAACATATTCCATATCTTTACACGTGTAACCTTACACAAAACTCATTTTCCTTGTCTTCACACACAAAAAACCCAAATATCTAACTCTTTAAGCAATACTATTAACTAATTTAGCTCTTTCATTAATTTAAAAAAATTAATTTGAGGTTTTCAAAAATGAAGTTAAAAAATATTTAACAAGGTTATATATCCATAATATTATATTTAAAATATTTATATTATATGTAAATTTATATTTTATAAAAATAAGCTATATATAAATATATGATATAATAAATTCTTTTTTCCCCATAATTATACATTTTATACCTCATTTTTTATTGCAAATAGTCAAATAGTTGCATTCATGTTAAATATATGTTAGATAAACTTAAAAAAATAAAAATTTAGATGTTGTTTTTCATTTCATTTTTTATGGTATAACTAAATATTAAAAATTATTTCCTAACTAATTTTTTATAATATTATCAAATATCAAAAAATAATTTATTTTTTTAAAATTCAATTTCTATAAAAATTACTTTCCAAAAAAAAATTGTCTAGCAAACAAGCAAACCTAATTAAAAATTCTAAAGTTATTTTTTTGGTTAAATTCCAAGTCAAAATTATACATTAAAAAATTTTAATTTTTTATGACTCGACCTAATTTGTTGATTAAAGATAAAGATTAAAAATTTGTTTTTTTTATTTCAAAAGTGATTTTTTAAAATTTTTATATTTTTTTGGTTTACTTCAAATTAATATATTTTTAATGTTTAAATTATTTTAATGTATTAATATTAAAAATAAATTTTAATAAAAAAAAATATTATTACAATAAATTTCCAAATAAAAAACTCTTTAAAATTTAATAACTATCGCAACATATAAAAGGCTGATGACTTTTTAGGCAGCCGTTTATTAAGAAAACAAAAGTAAGATAAATCATTTATATTTATCAGTATAGGCAAGACCTACCCTCCGGAGTCCAGAGCTCTTAGCTAAATATGCTAGGCTATGGGCTCAAGGATTACAGTTTCTAGAAATGTGATGGAGAAACCCCTTGTTTTATCTTTAATGCTTGAACAACGTTTCCAAAATAAGGCAAGTCTTAGACTGGTTTCTCGTGATCTTTAATAAGCAACAAGATTCTGCACTTTTATATGCAAGTCAAGAGCTAGGGCAAGCTGAAAGTCAGTCAGATACAGTATAGCTGCATGCAGCTTATGCCTAGATTACATGGTGGAAGGATGAGCCCCTTTTGTGAGCTGAAACCATTGCCAGCCCTTCTGCATGCCTGATGACTATACCAGCTCTCAGGTGTCATCAGCTATTAATTGATCATGCAAACTATTACTAGCTCTATTTCCAGGTCCGACGCTCTAAAATACAAGAAATGTTGAAGTTACAGTTTCAATTCAATTAAAGGTCATGTTTTCTGCCTCTTGCCTAATGGAATCAAAAAGCTTGGAAGAAAAATAACGTTCTCCAAAACTAGGGAATACAACCTGCATGGCAAGCAAAAGAAATAACATAATTAATTGAGTTGGATGCAAATTAAGCAATCAACTACTGTTTTAAGCGGCTGGTGTGCCCCTGACATGATCGTCCATACTAAGGCAGAAAAGCTAAGAAGGCGTAAACATGTATATTGTAAAATCAATCATGAGCTTTAATACCAATTTGCAGTAGGCAATAGAACTTACAACAACGAGTTTCCCAGCATTTTCTGGCCTCTTAGCTACCTTTATTGCAGCAGCAGCAGCTGCCCCAGATGATACCCCAACCTACAAGGGAAAAAGAAGTGAAAGATAAATCCTAAAATCTATCATGAATGGAAACTGCAGAAATGCTCATGGAGGGTTACTTTCTTTTTTCACACAAGATCATGGGAGGAGGATTTGATAGTTGTAACCTGGGAACCTACCAGCAAACCTTCTTTCAAGGCAAGCAGCTTGGTAGTTTCAATAGCTTCCTTACTTGATACCTAAAGAAGAATTACCACCAAAGGTAAACCTAGTCTCATGACAGTTTTCCATTCCACTGTTGTTGATAAAATGTAATGACACAAAAAGAGACTCATTAACCACCACTTAATATGTAGTTTCAAACTTACCTGAAAAACCTCATCTAGCATCTCAACATCCAAAACACTAGGAATGATCCCAGCACCAATTCCTTGGATTAGATGTGGGCCTTTGACATTTTTAACAAGCAATGATTACAAGAGAAACAATCATAATGAGAACATTGTCAATCTTAAAAAGAACGACATGGAGAGGGGAAAAATTTTAAGCTACGCAACGTTGATCATTTAACGGAAAAGGTATCATTTAACAGAAAAGGTTGATGTGTAGGGTTCTGCACTTCCTCTTGCAATAACCTTCAACACTAGAACCAACAAGAATTACAAATGGTGACAAGAATGCAACTGTATGTGAAAGAAAAAAGAACTAGAGCTTGAAAGAGTGTCATACTTACCATGTT